AGCTCTCCGAAGCTCTAGGTGCCCTTACCACCGACTACAGGGAAAACCAGCAGATCCCTAATCCATCTAAAACACAGACATGTGCTTTTCATCTCAAGAACAGAAACGCATCCCGAGCTCTGAGGATCACCTGGGAAGGAATCCCACTGGAGCATTGCATCGCACCCAAATACCTGGGAGTCACTCTGGACCGTGCTCTGACTTACAGGAAGCACTGCTTGGCTATTAAGCAAAAGGTGAGTGCTAGAAATAATATGCAAATCTGACTGGCACAACCTGGGGATCACAACCAGACACAATTAAGACATCTGCCCTAGCTTGGCTACCTGCTGCTGAATACACATGCCCAGCATGGAACACTTCTCACCATGTTAAGATAGTGGATGTGGCTCTTGATGAGACATGCTGCATTATCACAGAATATCTACGCCCTACACCACTGGAGAAATTACACTGTTTAGTCGATATTGCACCACCTGGAAGTAGCAGCCAATAATGAAAGGGCCAAGGCAGTGACATCTCTGGCTCGCCCTCTGTTCGGATACCAGCCAGCACACCAACACTTTAAATCAAGAAATAGTTTTCTAAGATCTACAGAGATACTTGCAGGAACACATCAGCAAGCAAGAGTCCAAAAGTGGCAGGCTAAAACCCGAAACCTCAATCAGTGGCTGAGACCACATGAGAGACTCCCTCCTGGGCACACAGAAGATGGAGCAATGTGAAAGGACTTGAACAGACTACGCTCTGGCAACATAAGATGCAGAGCCAAGCTTAAGAAATGGGGCCACAAAGTGGAGTCCCCGACATGCGAGTGTGGAGAAGAGCCAACCACAGACCAGCTATGACAACGCGGTCTGAGCCTGGCCACATGCACAATGGAGGGCCTTCTCACAGCAACACCAGAGACACTCCAAGTCGTCAACGCAAATTGAGTATCATGCCAAGTTGTTAACTTTGTTTGTGGTCTTCATACATTAGCACTGTATCCTCAATTCACTTTGGACATGATAAATAAATATTGTTTATTTACACCCCACTTTTCCTCTCCACAGGGAGACTCAAAGTGGCTAGAATGATGGAGAACCCCAAAACCCTGCAATAGGATCTCTTTTCGGGCTCTAAATGGCTCACTTTTGGGGATGCGCCGGTACAGGACATGAACGGAAACATTTGGGGGATCTTTTCATGAACGAAGCCCACTGTGTCCAATTCATCCCCTTATTGGTTGCCCTCTTTGGAGGGACTTTATAATTCTTGCCGCCTTAAGAAAGCTCAAAATCTTTTACCCTGTTGAACTCTATGGTTTCACACGGAAGTGGGATTTCGGGTTGTGCAACAGCGATTAGAACATGGAAGGATGGGTGCTTTGGTTTTGTAATTCCACCTATATAATGTGTATCGGAGATGGGGCTTAATTTCGTCGTACGGTGTCCAGTGACAACAAAGTTATTCCAGTCTATTATTGCCTCCAAAATAGGAGTCGTTCTCCTTTACTGGAGGCAAAACAGAGTTAAAGGAGGGGGGGACCCTTGTCTGAACCCCATTGTGTTCAATCCTGGCCCTTTATTCCCTCCAAAATGAGAAGGCCCTTCTCCCAAATGGAGATGTTTAAGAGGACCCTTTTCCAAAGTCAGTGGCATGCAATGCTGGGCTGAAAAGAAGGCCCTTCTCGCAAATGGAAAAGCTTTCAAGGGGATCCTTGCATGAAACCCATTTGCATTCAATTCACCCCTTCATTACACCCCCAAAAATAAGACCCTTCCCCCAAATGGAGAGCTTTAAAGGGTACCCTTGGGTGAAACCTGTTCTATGAAATTTGCCACCTGAAAAGAGAATACTTCTTCCAAATGGACAGCTTGAAAAAGAACACTTCTTCGAAAGTCCATGGCACACAATTCCCCCCCCCCCCCCAAAAGAGAAGGCATTTCACCCAAAACTGAGAGGTTTTGGAGGAACCCATCTCCCAAATGGAAGAGGTTTAAAGGGGGCCTTTTAGTGAACTCCTCTGCTTGCAATACGTCCCTTTACCCCCCACCCCCCAAGGAAGGCCCTTCTTCCTTCCTAGAGTTGATAACTGCAAGGCGCAAGTGGAGAGGTATGGGGGGACCTTCTTCCCAAGCCCATTGCTTGCAGTTAACTCTTTTATTTCCCCCATAAAAGGAGATGAACCTTTTCCCAAAGGGATGAGCTTCAAAGGTGACTCCACTGCTTGCAATTCACCCCTTTATCTCCCCCCAAAAGAAGGCCCTCTTTCCTTCCTAGTGTTGTAACTGCAAGGCACAGAAGGAGGGGTTTGGAGGGACCCTCTTCTAAAGCCAATTGCTTGCATATTTCCCTATATTTTCCCCCCACAATGAGACGACCCTTCTTCCAAAAGGATGAGCTTCAAAGGAGACCTTACTGCTTGCAGTTCACCCCTTTATCTCCCCCCAAAAGAAGGTTCTCCTTTTTCCCAGCATTTATAACTGCTAAGCATAAATGGAGAGGTTTAGGGGGACCTTCTTCCCAAGGCCATTGCTTGCAATTACCTCCTTTATTTCCCCCCAAAAGGAGATAGTCCTTTTCCTATAGAGATGGGCTTGAAATGTGGGGGGATAGTGAACTTCTTTACTTGTAATTCATCCCTTTATTCCCCCAAAATAGGGCACTTTTTCCTTCCTAGTGTTGAGAACTGCAAGACAAATGGAGAAGTTTGGGGGGACCCTCTTCCAAAGCCAATTACTTCCAAATTTCTTTTTATTTCCCCCCAAAAGGAGATGAACCTTTTCCTAAAAAGAAAAGCTTCAAAGGGCACCCCATTACCTGCAATTTACCCATCTGTCTCTCCAGAAGAGGGCACTCCTCCCTTCCTAGAGTTGATAACTGCAGGGTGCAAATGGAGAGGTTTGGGGGGACCCTCTTCCGAAGCCTATTACTTGCACATTTCCCTTTATTTTCCCCCCAAAATGAGAAAATCCTTTTCCTAAAGGTATGAGCTTTAAAGGAGACCCATTGATTCACCCCTTTATCCCCCCAAAAGAGGGCCCTGTTTCCTCTCTAGTGTTGATATGAAGGGTGCAAATGGAGAGGTTTCGGGAGACCCCCTTCTGAAGTAAATTGCTTGCAAATTTCTCTTTATTTCCCCCACAAAAGGAGACTATCTTGCTCCCAAAAGGATGAGCTTCAAGGGAGACCCCATTACTTGCATTTCCCCCCTCTCCAAAATACCTCATTGATTGCATACACCCCTTTATCCCCCCAAAAGAGGGCCCTGTTTCCTCTGTAGTGTTGATATCTGCAGGGCGCAAATGGAGAGGTTTGGGGGGACCCTCTTCCCAAGTCCACTGCTTATAAATTTCCCTTTCTTTCCCCTCAAAATGAGACTATCCTGCTCCCAAAAGGATGAGCTTCAATGGGAACCCCATTATTAGCAATTCACCCTTCTGTTTCTCCAAAAGAGGGCCCTGTTCCCTTCCTAATGTTGATATCTGCAGGGCGCAAATGGAAAGGTTTAGGGGGACCCTCTTCCGAAGCCCATTGCTTGCAGTTAACTCCTTTATATCCCCCCAAAAGGAGATGAATCTTTTCCCATAAGGATGAGCTTCATCAGGGACACAATTACTTGCAACTCACCCCTCTGTCTCTCTCCAAAAGAGGGTCTTGAGTCCTTCCTAGTGTTGGTATCTGCAGGGCGCAAATTGAGAGGTTTGGGGGGGACCCTCTTCCGAAGCCCATTTCTTGAAGTTATCTAATATATTCCCCCCAAAAAGGAGATGAAATGTTTCCTAAAAGGATGAGCTTCAATGGGGACCCCATTACTTGCAACTCACTCCTCTCTCTCTCTCTCTCCCAAAGAGGGCCTTGTTTCCTTCCTAGTTGATATCAGCAAGGTGCAAATGGAGAGGTATGGGAGGACCCTCTTCTCAAGCTCATTGCTCGCAAATTTCCCTTTATTTCCCCTCCAAATGGGGATGAGCCTTTCCCTAAAAGGATGAGCTTCAAAGGGGACCCCATTACTTGCAACTCACCCCTCTGTCTCTCTCTCAGAGGGCCTTGTTTCCTTCCTAGTTGATATCAGCAAGGTGCAAATGGAGAGGTGGGGGGGGGACCCTCTTCTCAAGCCCATTGCACACAAAGTACCCCATATTTTCCCCCCAAAAGGGGAAGAACCTTTTCACAAAAGGATGAGCTTCAAAGGGGACCCCATTACTTGCAACTCACCCCCTCTCTCTCCCCCAAAGAGGGCCTTGTTTCCTTCCTAGTTCATAACTGCAGGGTGCAAATGGAGAGGTATGGGGGGACCCTCTTTCCATGCCCATTGCTTGCAAATTTCCCTTTATTTCCTTCCTAAATGGGGATGAGCCTTTCCCTAAAAGGATGAGCTTCAAAGGGGACCCCATTATTTGCAGCTCACCCCTCTCTCTCAAAGAGGGCCCTGTTTCCTTCCTAGTGTTGCTATCTGCAAGGCGCAAATGGAGAGGTATGGGGGACCCACTTCCCAAGCCCACTGCTCACTAATTACCAAATTTTTCCACCCAAAAAGGGGATGAACCTTTCCCCTAAAAGAATGAGCTTCAAGGGGGACCCCATTATTTGCAACTCACAGCTGTCTCTCTCCCAAAGAGGGCCTTGTTTCCTTCCTAGTTGATATCAGCAAGGTGCAAATGGAGAGGTTTGGAGGGACCCTCTTCCCAAGCTCATTGCTTGCAAATTTCCCTTTATTTCCCCCCCAAATGGGGATGAGCCTTTCCCTAAAAGGATGAGCTTCAAAGGGGACCCCATTATTTGCAGCTCACCCCTCTGTCTCTCTCCCAAAGAGGGCCTTGTTTCCTTCCTAGTGTTGCTATCTGCAGGGCGCAAATGGAAAGGTTTGGGGGGGGGGGGACCTTCTTCCCAAGCCCATTGCTTTGTGTTAACTAATACATTTCCCCCCCAAAATGAGACTCCCCTCTCCCCAAAAGGATGGGCTTCAAGGGAGACGCTTCCTTCCTTCCTTCCTTCCTTCCTTCCTTCCTTACCGGAGGTGATCTTGGGGAGGCCCAAGACATCCTCGGGGCTGATGCTGGCCTTGCGGAGGAGCTCCTCCTCGCTGCAAAGGGCCGAGGAAGAGGCTCCCGAGGAAGAGGAGGAGGCCGAAGATGGGGGGGCCGCCGCCGCCGCTCCCCCGGGGCCCATTCCTCCTCCTCCTGCGGTGCCAGCGCTGCTCCCCTTCTTCACCTTCATCTTCCCACCGGAGACGATGCCGCTTCTGCTTCGGGTCACAGAAGGGAGCGGATCTGCAAAGGAAGAAGAGGAGAGAGAATGGCTCATCCCCCCTTAAGCGCCTTTGCTGCAAATCCGCCGCCCCGCCCCTCGGGGAAAGGGGAGGAGCCAAAGCAGGCAGTGGGGAGGAAGGGAGGGTGGCCTCTGAGCATGTGCAGAGTGCCAAGCAAAGCAAGAGGAATCAGAGAAGGAGGGAGGCGCTTCCTGGCTGGGAAAAGGGATGCTGGGGGGAGAGGTGGACATGCAAGGAGGGGAGGGGCTTGGGAATGTGTCCTCTGAGCATGTGCAGAGTGCCAAGCAAGGCCAGAGAAATCAGAAAGGAGGGAGGCACTTTCTGGCTGGGAAAAGTGATGCTGGGAGGAGAAATGGATATGCAATGAATGTATTTATTTATTTCAACTATTAAGAAGGGGAGGGGTTTTGGAATGTGTCCCCTGAGCATGTGCAGATTGCCAAGCAAGGCAAGAGGAATCAGAATGGAGGGAGGAGCCTCCTGGGTGGGAGAAAGGATGCTTGGGGCGGGGGTGAGGTGGACATGCAAGGAGGGGAGGGGCTTGGGAATGTGTCCTCTGAGCATGTGCAGAGTGCCAAGCAAGGCAAGAGAACATTTCTCCTGATGTTTCGCCTGCATCTATGGCAAGCATCCTCAGAGGTAGTGAGGTCTGTTGGAAATAGGTCAATGGCTTTATATATCTGTGGAATGGCTGGGGTGGGGCAAATAGCTCTTCTCTGCTGAGCTAGGTGTGAATGTTTCAGCTGACCACCTTCATTAGCATTTGAAGGCCTGCCTGAGCCTGGGAAAATCTTTTGTTGAGAGGTGTTAAGATGTGCCTGGTTGTTTCCTCTCTGCTGTTTAGCTGTTGTAATTTTAGAGTTTTTTAATACTGGTAGCCAGATTTTGTTCATTTTCATGGTCTCTTCCTTTCTGTTGAAATTGTCCACATGCTTGTGGATTTCAATGGCTTCTCTGTGTAGTCTGACATGGTGGTTGTTAGAGTGGTCCAGCATTTCTGTGTTCTCAAATAATATGCTGTGTCCAGGTTGGTTCATCAGGTGCTCTGCTATGGCTGACTTCTCTGGTTGAAGTAGTCTGCAGTGCCTTTCATGTTCCTTGATTGTGTTGGGCAATGCTGCGTTTGGTGGTCCCTATGTAGACTTGTCCACAGCTGCATGGTACACGGTAGACTCCTGCAGAGGTGAGGGGATCCCTCTTGTCCTTTGCTGAACGTAGCATTTGTTGGATTTTCTTGGTGGGGTTGTAGATTGTTTGTATGTTGTGTTTCCTCATCAGCTTCCCTATGCGGTCAGTGGTTCCCTTGATGTATGGCAGGAACACTTTTCCTCTGGGTGGATCTTCATCCTTACTCTCGTGGCTTGTTCTTGGTCTTGCAGCTCTTCTGATGTCTGAGGTGGAGTATCCATTGGCCTGGAGAGCCCAGTTGAGGTGGTTCAGTTCATCTTGGAGGAGGTGAGCTTCGCAGATTCTTTTTGCACGGTCTGCCAAGGCTTTAATGGTGCTTCTTTTTTGACTTGGGTGATGGTTGGAGTTTTTATGTAGATATCTATCTGTGTGTGTGGGTTTTCTGTAGACGGTGTGACCCAATTGTTGATCTGGTTTGCGGATAACTAGGACATCTAGAAAAGGCAGTCTAATAATAAACAATAATAATTTCTAATACCCTAGGCCCTTGGGAAGAGTCTGATATTCAGAGATGAAGCCCAGACACTTGGAGTTAATGTGCGCTGTGTTATTGTGGACATGCGAATAAATAATAATAATAACAACAACAATAATAATAGACTAATAATAGATAAACAAAGGTTCAACAAGGGGACAAAAATGCAGAGGAAGGAGGTGCTGCACACAACCTCCTAGATCAGGTGTCCTCAAACGTTTTAACCGGAGGGCCAGGTCACAGTCCCTCCAACTGTTGGAGGACTGGATTATCATTTGAAAAAAACATGAATGAATTCCTATGCACACTGCACATACCTTATTTGTAGTGCAAAAAACACTTAAAAACAATACAATAATTAAAATGAAGAACAATTTAAACAAGTATAAACTTATTAGTATTTCAATGGGGAGTGTGGGCTTGCTTTTGGCTGGTGAGATAGGATTGCTGTTGTTGTTGTTGCTGTGTGCCTTCAAGTTGTTTCAAACTTAGGTTGACCTTGAGCAAGGGCCAGGTAAATGACCTTGGAGGACCGTATTCGGCCCTTGGGCCTTAGTTTGAAGAACCTTGTCCTAGATACTTGGAATCAACACAAATGTGAATATATTTCCTTTTACACCCAATCGTCTTTTATTTCAAACCCAAGTGCAAAATCAACCCGAATAAATAAATAAAATGCAGGGAGGGAGACATGATGAAAGCCGGAAAGTTACTTTCAGGAGGCGGACTTTTGGGCCCCCAAAGAAGTGACTTTTTGGAAGAATTTTGTTTCCTTCCGACCTGTCCATTGGGGGATGCTGGGAGCTGCTGTGCAAAGGAGAGCCGGCTGGCATCCGGCACTCAGTCCACTTTGCCCGGCTCCTTTTTGGTGGCCCGGCTCTCCCGCAGGATCTTGGCCATGGAGAGGAGGATGGGGACGGCCATAGGGAGGAAGAGCGGGATGTAAATGGCGAACTTCTGGTCATCGGGGAAGTAGAGGAGGTGGAGGAGCGAAGGGTGGAAGAAAGCCCGCTCCGAGGATGTGACGGCCGCCTTGCTGGCCAGGAAGGCCGCCTCCAGGCGCCCAGCCTCCAGTTCTCGCAGGGCCTCCTCCGCTGACCCCACCGCATGGTAGACCTGCATCAAAGCAGGGAGAAACCCAGAATGAATGACTAGACCACCGCCTGGCACCACAGGACCAAGCAAAGGCCTAGGAAGGACCTCTTTCAGATCATTGGAACCTAGGGGAGGACGTATTATAGATCAACAACACCGTGGATAATAGGGAACTGCTGAAACAAATGACTTACGGCTCAAGGAGAACATATAGTTGCACGGAAGGACCTGCACAATGCCTAGAGGGGACATATTATGGATCAACAACACCATGGATAATAGAGAACTCTGCTGAAACTAATGACTTTCGGCTCAAGGAGAACGTAGAGTTACATGGAAGGACCTACACAATGCCTAGAGGGGACATATTATGGATCAACAACACCATGGATAATAGAGAACTCTGCTGAAATGAATGACTTTCGGCTCAAGGAGAACGTAGAGTTACATGGAAGGACCTACACCATGCCTAGAGGGGACGTATTATGGATCAACAACACTATGGATAATAGAGAACTCTACTGAAACTAATGATTTTCGGCTCAAGGAGAACGTATAGTTACATGGATGGACCTACACAATGCCTAAAGCGGACGTATTATAGATCAACAACACCATGGATAGTAGAGAACTCTGCTGAAACGAATGACTTTCGGCTCAAGGAGAACGTATAGTTACATGGAAGGACCTACACAATGCCTAAAGCGGATGTATTATGGATCAACAACACCATGGATAATAGGGAACTCAGCTGAAATGAATAACTTTTGGCTCAAGGAGAATGTATAGTTGCACAAAAGGACCTACACAATGCCTAGAGGGGACGTATTATGGATCAATGATACCATGGATAATAGCAATCTCTACTGAAATTATTATTATTATGAGTTGTAGGTTTTTTCGGGCTATATGGCCATGTTCTAGAGGCATTTCTCCTGACGTTTCGCCTGCATCTATTGCCTTCGACAATATATTATTATTAAAAATAATAATAACAACAACAACATGCAAAGTAGACTCAAAGGGGCTTATAATTAATCACTTCTGGCTCAAGGATACCATGTATTATTATTATTAGTATTATGATGTTACTGAAATGACTGAGTTAATACATAATGATGATGATGATGATGACCTTATACTTGAGCCGGAAATCAGCCACTTCATTATTATTATTATTATTATTATTATTATTATTACTGAAATGACTGACTTCTGGCTCAAGGATATTGTGTATTGTTACTACTACTACTACTACTATGTTACTGAAATGACTGACTCAAGGATACCATGTATTATTATTTTACTATTATAATGTTATTGAAATAACTGAGTTAATACATAATGATGATGATGATAATAATCTTATACTTGAGCCGGAAGTCAGCCACTTCATTATTATTATTACTATATTACTGAAATGATTGACTTCCAACTCAAGGATATCGTGTATTATTATTATTATTATTATTATTATTATTATTATTATTATTACTATTATGTTACTGAAATGGCTGATTTCCAGCTCAAGGATATCATGTATTATTATTATTATTATTATTATTATTATTATTATTATTATTATTATGTTACTGAAATGGCTGACTTCCAGCTCAAGGATATCATGTATTATTATTATTATTATTATTATTATTATTATTATTATGTTACTGAAATGACTGACTTCCAGCTCAAGGATATAACGTATTATTATTATTATTATTATTATTATTATTATTATTACTACCACTACTACTATTATGATACTGAAATGATATCAACTATTATTATTATTATTATTATTATTATTATTATTATTATTATGTTATTGAAATGACTGACTTCGGGCTCAAGGATAATATATATTACTACTACTACTACTACTACTACTACTACTACTAATAATAATAATAATAATAGTAATAATAGTAATAATAAGGGCCATCCAGTCCAACCCCCTTCTGCCTTGCAGAGAATGCAGAGTCAAAGCGGCCCGATTGGAAAGAACCCGTTGTCCACAGCAGGGCTTCCTAAGGGCTCCGTGGAGCACAGTCTGCGAAACACTGAGCGAAACCTATTGAGATAAAGGGCTTCTGGGCCCAGCAATGCCCAGAGTCCTGCCAAGAAAAGGCTGAGAGAGGGTGCAAGTTGTACCTCGGAGGCCACGTCGTCCTTGATGACGATGTTCCCGATCTTGTCCAGCAGCTGGGCCAGTGAGGTCAAGGTGGTGGAGACGGTGGCCACGTTCTCCACGCTTCGGGCCCAGAGAAGCCGGTCTAGCTCCCAGTCGCAGAGGCCTGCCTTGCCCGGATTGGCCAGGAGGGTTCCCTCTGGCAGTGGCGTCCGGGAAACCCCAAAGAGCAGCCTGCCGGGGGGACAAAACACAACGGCCATAATTATGTTGATCAATAATAACAACAACAACAATAGTACTTTATTATTATTGGGGCTGCGGTTGGCATAATGGGTTAATCCCTTGTGCTGCTGAATCTGCTGACCTGAAGGTTGGCAGTTCGAAGCTGTGGGTCGGGGTGAGCTCTCGCTGTTAGCCCTAGCTCCTGCCAACCTCCCAGTTCCAAAACATGCAAATGTGAGTAGATCAATAGCTATCGCTTTGGCGGGAAAGTAATAAACGGTCCCTAACCCAGTCTAGATGTCCTTTCAGGGTCCCAAAGCCTTTCTAGATGCCATTTATGGGTCCCAAAACTCACCGCAGCTGGGCCAGGAATACCTCCATCACGGCCACCATATTGACATCCACTCTTTTCGGGAAGGAAGTTTCATTGGCCACATCCGGTCCAACATTGTAGATCTGTCGAGAAAGAAAGATGGCTGACAGTGATCCTTTCTCCCTCATTTTTATAACTAGATGCCCTTTCAGGGTCCCAAAGCCTGTCTAGATCTCCTTTCAGTGTCCCAAAGTCAGTCTAGATGCCCTTTCAGGGTCTCAAAGCCAGTCTAGATGGCCTTTCAGGGTCTCAAAACCTGTCCAGATTCCCTTTCAAGGTTTCAAAGCCAATCTAGATGCCCTTTCAGGGTATCAAAAACTGTCTAGATGACCTTTCAGGGTCCCAAAGCCAGTGTAGATGCCCTTTCAGGGTCTCAAAAACTGTCTAGATATACTTTCAGGGTATCAAAAACTGTCTAGATGTCCTTTCAGGGTTCCAAAGCCAGTCTAGATACCCTTTCTGGGTCTCAATGCCAATAGAAACCAATATTACTCAATTCTACATTTTCATAGAATCCTAGAGCTGGAGGGGAACCCCAAGAGCCATCTAGTCCAGGCAAAAGGACATCACCAAAACTCTCCTGACAGATGGCCATCCAGCCTCTAAAGTAATTAATATGCTTCCCCTATTGGGTTGGAAGGAACCCCCAGGGCCCATCTAGTCCAGGCAGAAGGGCACCATCAAACTTTCCTGAGAGATGGCCATCCAGCCTCTAAACTAATTGATATGCTTCCCCTATTGAGTTGGAAGGGACCCCCAAGGGCCATCTGACCAAGGCAGAAGGGCACCATCAAAACCCTCCTGACAGATGGCCATCCGGCCTCTAAACTTATTAATATACTTGGAAGGGACCCCCAAGGCCATCTGGTCTAGGCAGAAGGGCACAATCAAAACCCTCCTGACAGATGGCCATCTAGCCTCTAAACTAATTGATATGCTTCCCCTATTGAATTAGAAGAGACCCCCAGGGGCCATCTAGTCCAGGCAGATGGGCACAATCAAAACTCTCCTGACAGATAGCCATCCAGCTTCTAAACTAATTAATATGCACTCTTTTCTTACTTACCATAATGCCACCCCATCGAGGGCTATGGAAGGCATTGGTGGGCACGGCCGACCCGTCCTTGCCCTGGATATAGAGCGGCGAGTGCAGATCTTCCGGAACATATAACAGGAAGTTGAGCACCGGGTAAAGCGAGGCAGCGCTGGAACCTGGGTGTTGATACGTAGAGGGAGAGACAGAGGCCGAGATAAGGAAAGGTAGCAAGATAGAGGTCAGTAGGTACATCCGTAACGTCTGCCGCGGTCCTGAGTCTGGTTTGTAAGTTTTCCAAACTCTCACTCACCCAACCGGGCCTCCACTGGGTTGATGACATGGGGAAGGCTATGGACGCTCAGGCGATAACTGGAAGACGCGGGGTCAAAACGAGGCGTCACCCCCAATGCTGCGTAATAGAGGATCTGGCAAAGGAAGAGTGGGGGGAAAGCAGATTGTTATTGTTTGGCTCGTTTGGCCCCCATGGTCCACTCTACATCCTGGGACCATGCATGATGGGATTTGAGTACCTTCACTCGCTTCCCGAGACCACTGCGACTCACACAAATGACTGATCAAGACCAAACTTGGCACACAGAGCCCCATGGCCCACTCTTACATCCTGGTGCGGTTTGGAAGATTTTGTAGCATGGATGATGGGACTTGCAGTACCTTCATTCACTTCCTGAGACCATTCCAATCCACACCAATGACTGATCAAGACCAAACTTGGCAGACAGAACCCCCATGGCCCACTCTTACATCCTGGTTTGGTTTGATTTTGTACCATGAATGATGGGACTTGCAGTACCTTCACTTGCTTCCTGAGACCATTCCGATCTACACCAATGACTGATCAAGGCCAAACTTGGCACACAGAGCCCCGATGGCCCATTCTTACAGCCTGGTGCGATTTGGAAGATTTTGTACCATGGATGATGGGACTTGTAGTACCTTCACTTGCTTCCTGAGACCATTCCAATCCACACCAATGACTGATCAAGACCAAACTTGGCAGACAGAGCCCCCATGTCCCACTTTTACATCCTGGTTTGGTTTGGTTTTGTACCATGGATGATGGGACTTGCAGTACCTTCACTTGCTTCCTGAGACCATTCCAATCCACACCAATGACTGATCAAGACACTTGGCACACAGAGCCCCCATGGCCCACTCTTACATCCTGGTGCGGTTTGGAAGATTTTGTAGCATGGATGATGGGAATTGCAGTATCTTCACTCGCTTCCTGAGACCATTCCAATCCACACCAATGACTGATCAAGACCAAACTTGGCACAGAGATCCCCCATGACTCACTCTACATCCTGGTGCAGTTTGGAGGGGGATGGACCATGGACGATGGGACTTGCATATAGGAGTTGTAGTTCACTCGCACCCACTGAACCCACCTGACATTGGATCTAGACTAAAACTGGAGCACAGACAAACAATGCCTATCTCAAATAACCTGGGCACCGCTGGGTCTCCAAGCTAGTAATTAACAATAACAATAACAATAATAACAATAACAATAATAATAATAATAATAATAATAACTCACTTGTGAATCCACTGAAAACTCGGCCACGGGGCTCAACTTCTCCAGCATCGGCTTCACAAAGCGGTGGATGGCCCCCTCTATGTCCCAATGCACATTGTGAGACCTCGGATCTGGGTTCAACAAGCTGAAGGTGATCTCGTACCCTACATGTGAGACAAGACACATATGTTCTAGAGCTGTACTTTGCGTATGTCATGAAATATGATGTATTTGATGTATGGTTTGATGAAAAACAGGGTGTTTACATTATCAGAGACAATGGCTCTTTAAGTTGAGGAAATGTTTACAAGGTTCCTTACGTTAAGAAGGAAGTCAACACAAGGCTCCTTACGTTTACCAATACCGATTATGCCAGAAAACCACCCATGCAACTATAAAATAGGAGCCCCTGGTAGTGCAATGGGTTAAACCCTTGACCGGCAGGACTGACGACTGACAGGTCGGAGGTTCGAATCTGGGGAGAGCGCAGATGAGCTCCCTCTATCAGCTCCAGCTCCCCATGCGGGAACATGAGAGAAGCCTCCCACAAGGATGGAAAAACATCAAAACATCCGGGCAATGTCTCCTGAGCAACGTCTTTGCAGACGGCCAATTATCTCACACCAGAAGCGACTTGCAGTTTCTCAAGTCGCTTCTGACACCAAAAAATCCCCAAAAAACTATAGAATTAACTAAACTGTGTTGGGATCGAACTGAGCTCTGCCTGGAACACTAGAACGCCCCTGGGAACAACATATGGAGGATATGAGCACAACTTGTGTCCTACCAAGACTGGACTTGACGGGCCGCTTCCACTCGGCGCCTGGTTGGCCAATGAGGACGCGGTCAGCAAGGGCTTCTGCGAGGGAGTCGGGCGTGAAGGACATGGCGTGGGCCACCCGCTGGACGTGAACGTCCACTCCGTCGAGGGCGTCCTCCGTGTGGAGGGGGGACCGGAGGATGGCACTGCGGTGCTTCCCGACGAATACGCTGATGTCCTGCAGAACGGATGCAGGAGGAGCAAAACATCAGGAGAGAATGCTTCTGGAACATGGTCATATAGCCCGGAATGCTCACAGTGACATGGTGCAGAACCTCATGATACTAAAATCAAACAGTGGACCTGTGGGAGGAGACGGGAGTTTTGTGGGACCACGTAAACAGTGATGGACCCCATGGAGGTCTCTTCTGTTGTCCGAAGGCTGGAATCGACCTCTGGAACGAGAAAGAAAGCAAATTGTGTAAAACTCATAGCAATACGTAACAATACAAACAACCAATACTAATAAAGATACTTTGGGGGTGTTTGAATCAGTGGGTTTATATGACACTAGCCGTCCCCTGCCACGCATTGCTGTGGCCCAGTCTGTGTATATGATCATTATGCACGTGTGGACCATAATGACGGATCTGTATATGTGCTTTGTGTGTGTATATGTGTGTGTATATATTTGTGTATATGTGTATATACATGTGTTTTCGTATATATGTATGGTTTTGTGCATGCGTTGTAATGTATTTTTAATTTTTTGGTTTTTTAAGTCCCTTCTGCTATGTTTTTCAGTGTTTTTATGAGTGATGGTCACTAGTTGGCCAGATAGGTGTCTTGTGTCCAAATTTGGTGTCAATTCGTCCAGTGGTTTTTGAGTTATGTTAATCCCACAAACAAACAGTACATTTTTATTTACATAGCTATTGTATTATTATGCATTTCTTGTATAACATTATAATATTATTATCAATATTATATGTATATACAATACATTATATTATTAGCATAGCATAATATTATTATATATTACTATATTACTATATTATACTATACCACTCTACTGCAATATTATTAGTAATAATACATGTAATACATAATATAAAATTATTATATTGTATTCTTAATATTATATTGCATAACATTATTATGAATATTATATGTATATATAATATTTTATATTATTAGCATAGCACAACATTAGTATTATATATTACTATATTATACTATAGCACTCTACTGCAATATTATTAGTAATATGAAATATATATAGAAGGGTGGGATAGAAATACCCCAAAATCAATAATCAATACCTTCTAGGGACGCCTGCGCCAGGATCGTTTCCTCCTGCGTCGTCGCGCGGCGGTAGAACATCTCATAATGGGAGGTCACGCTGGTCTTGGCTGCGAGAGGCAAACAGACATGTCAAATCCACAACATTGGCCCTATTGGTTGCCTATGCCAAGAGCATGTCAAAAGTGTTTCTTGTGCTTACGATTTAAGGGGATGTCGACGTCCTGCATCTTTCGAGAAGGGAGTTTGCGCTCCTGCTTCGCCGGCAACGACCCTTTGGCAAAGACGACCGACACCGGCACCGTCAGCTGGAACTGAATGAGAGCAAAATCCTTAATTAATTGACGGAAAACGTGGTTGAAGGATTACGTAGGAGGAGGAAGAGTTGCGACCCGGCCCTACCAACCCTTAAGGTGTCCAGCTCCGCAATCTCGGCGTACGGCAACGAGGCCCGGTAAGTCTCCGTCGTCTTCCACCAGAGCGGAAGCCCCAGTGCCACAGCGATGGCGGCGAAGGAGAGTGCGGCGTACTTGCCCCGGGTCTTCTCTGCAGGGGAAAAAAAGGCGAAAGAAAAGGAGAAAGAGAGGTCAGTCCTGGGTTCGAATCCAACGCATCTGGGAAAGGCCCGGAGGCAACCTCAGCCTTTAACGGAGCCTTTCCAGATCCTGGAATCTTTAGAGACCGACTTTACTACAAATCCCATTATTCCTCCGTGTGTCCTGAGAAATATAGTGGACTGCAAATCCCATTGTCCCATTGGGTCCCACAATAGTTGGATCTGCAAATCCCACAATCCTAGAGTCCCCTCCGCTCTCTATCTATGTGTGTGTGTCTGCATTAATATTTTCCTTATTCCTTTATTCTGGCCAAATATGGATATGTGTATGTATACATTTACATATTTATTTATTTATGTACGACCTTTATATGCTGCCTTTCTCACCCCGAAGGGGACTCAGAGCAGCTTACAAGATATATATACATATAATATATGATTAGCATAGTACAATATCCATATTAAATATTACTATATTGTACTATACCATTATATTGTAATATTATTAGTAATATCACATGTAATATAAATATATAATTACAATATCATATTATTATTAGTATTGCATTACATTACAATATTATAAATATTATATGGATATACAATATATTATATGATTAGCATAGTACAATATCCATATTAAATATTACTATATTGTACTATACCATTATATTGTAATAGTATTAGTAATATCACATGTAATATAAATATATAATAATATCATACTATTATTAGTATTATATTGCATTACATTATAATATTATAAATATATGTATATGTATATGCATGTGTGTATGTATAAGTGTGTATGTGTGTGTACATATATATCTGTACGTACATGTACATGTGTATATGTATATATATCTATATATATTTACGTGTGTATGTGTATATGTATGTATATGTATGTGTGTATATGTATATCTATATATATACATATGCATGTGTATATAGATATATATGTATATGTATGTGCAATTGCAGATCCCATTATCCATTATCTCCTGCCCCCCAGGAGCCCTATATATGTATACAGAAGTAGGTATGACTACAAATCCCATTATTCTCGGTTGTGGGGACCTGTATTGGTCTAAAAATCCCATTATTCCAGTGTGTCCACTTATAGTGGTCTATAAGTCCCATTATCCAACTCGGAGCCCTATATATGTATATAAAAGCAAATATGACTACAAATCCCATTATGACTAATGAGATCAGTAGCCACCTTAGAGAGGCAGGGTATAAATAAAGTCAATAATAATAATTACTATTTCCCTGTTTAGCCTAATGACACTGCGTTGGACTACAAATCCCATCAGTCCAAGTGCTATCCCACCCAGAGCCCTATATATGTATATAGAAGCAAATATGACTACAAATCCCATTATGACTAATGAGATCAGTGGCCGCCTTAGACAGGCTGGGTATAAATAAAGTCAATAATAATAATTACTATTTCCCTGTTTAGCCTACAAACTGCAAATCCCATCAAGGAGCCCTATATATGGGTATGTGTATAGAAGCAAATATGACTACAAATCCCATTGTGACTAATGAGATCAGTAGCCGCCTTAGACAGACAGGGTATAAATAAAGTCAATAATAATAATGACTATTTCCCTGTTTAGCCTAATGACACTGCATTGGACTACAAATCCCATCATTCGAAGTGCTATCCCACCCAGAGCCCTATATGTATATAGAAGCAAATATGACTACAAATCCCATTATGACTAATGAGATCAGTAGCCGCCTTAGACAGACAGGGTATAAATAAAGTCAATGAGAATAATTACTATTTCCCTGTTTAGCCTACAAACTACAAACCCCATCATTCCAATAGATGGAACTGCAAATCCTATTCTCCCCTGGAATCTTTCTATAAGACTACAAATCCCATCATTCCAAGTGTAACCCCCCTAGAGAAACAGAGTGGACTACAAATCCCATTGTCCTCATTGGGTTCCACAATAGATGGAACTGCAAATCCTATTCTCCCCTGGAATCTATCTATATGACTACAAATCCCATTGTCCCCCTGGTTGCCCTAGACTGGGACACTGCACTGGGCTACAAATCCTATATCTAACTATAGAGGACTACAAATCCCATTATCGCAGTTGGCCCATGATGTTGGGCCACAAGTTTCTTCATTCCTTTATACATATACTGCTCGGAAGAAACAAACAACCACAAGGTATTATTCCATTGTTTCCCAATCTCATTCGCTTCTGTGACTTTTTTGTCCCTTCTCTCTTCCCTTCGACCCTTACCGGCGGCATCCATTGCGGCGGCTGAAGCGGCGTGGCCCGCCATCTTGTTATACGGAAGTCCTCCCACAGCGAGGGGCGGGGCTTCGGCAGCCCAGCCTCGGCTCGACCAATGGGGTGGCGGATTCCTCTGAGCGACAGCGACGGCGTCCAATCGGAGAGCTGTAAAGCTGAAGTTGAAGCAAACTGGGGTAAAGTTGTTATGTATTTAGAAACCCTTATCCTAAATGTCCTTTGAGCTGAAGCTGGCCACTTGGAGTGCCTCTGGGGTCGCTGTGAGAAGGTCCAACATTGTGCATGTGGCAGGGCTCAGGCTGCATTGTAGGAAGTGGTCTTCTCCACACTCTTCTGCCACTTTTGGGCTCTTGCTTGCTGAGAGTATCTCTGTCAATCTTAGAACAACCCCTCTCCAATGCCAGAAACACAGCTTAATGGTGTAACATTTTTGCTCTGTGGTTTGCTCTTCTCCACACTCTTCTGCCACTTTTGGACTCTTGCTTGCTGAGAGTATCTCTGTCGATCTTAGAACAATCCCTCTCCAATGCCAGAAATACAGCTTAATGGTGTAACGTTAGAAAATGTTTACCATTTTCGCTCCCTTGGCAGCCACCTCTCCACAAATGTCAACACTGACACCAAAATACGACACCGCCTGAGCTCTGCGAGCGCAGCATTCTTCCGAATGGAGCAGAGAGTGTTTGAGGACCGGGACATCCATAGGAAAAGTAGGGAAGTCATGCTACCCATCGTCTAGACCACACCTGGAATATTGTGTACAATTCTGGGCACCACAATTGAAGAGAGATATTGACAAGCTGGAGGGTGACTAAAATGATCAAGGGTCTGGAGAACAAGCCCTATGAGGAGTGGCTTAAAGACCCAGGCGTGTTTAGCCTCAAGAAGAGAAGGCTGAGAGGAGACATGATGAAGGCCATGTATCGATATGTGAGGGGAAGTCACAGATTGTTTTCTATCGCCCTGGAAATTAGGATGCAATGGAACAGTGTTTCTCAACCTGGGGGTTGGGACCCCTGGGGGGGGGTCACAAGGGGGTGTCAGAGGGGTCGCCAAAGACCATCAGAAAACACAGTATTTTCTACTGGTCACAGGGATTCTGAGTGAGAAGTTTGGCCCAATTCTCTCGTTGGTGGGACTCAGAATGCTATTTGATTGTAGGAGAACTATAAATCCCAGCAACGACAACTCCCAAATGTCAAGGTCTATTTTCCCCAAACTCCACCAGTGCTCACATTTGGGAATATTGAGTATCCATGCCAAGTTTGGTCCAGATCCATAATTGTTTGAGTCCACAGTGCTCTCTGGATGTAGGTGAACTACAACTCCCAAACTCAAGATCAATTTCCACCAGACCCTTCCAGTATTTTCTGTGGGTCATGGGAGTTCTGTGTGCCAAGTTTGGTTCAATTCCATCATTGGTGGAGTTCAGAATGCTCTTTTTGATTGTAGGTGAACTATAAATCCCAGAAACTACAACTTCCAAATGACAAAATAAATTTCCCCAACCTCTTCAGTATTCAAATTTGGGCATATTGGGTATTTGTGCCAAATTTGGTCCAGTGAATGAAAATACATCCTGCATATCAGATATTTACACTACGATTCATAGCAGTAGCAAAATGGCAGTTATGAAGGAGCAACATATTCCAAAACAGTTACTCTATTCCCAACTCAAGAATGGGAAACGTAATGTTGGTGGACAGGAAAAGAGATTAAAAGATGGGTTTAAAGATAACCCTAAAAACTGTGGCATAGACACTGAGAGAGAACTGGGAAGCCCTGGCCCTTGAGTGCTCTAACTGGAGGTCAGCTGTGACCAGCAGTGCTGTGGAATTCAAAGAGGCACGAATGGAGGGCGAAATGGAGAAAGTAGGCATGTCAAGCCAACCCTCACCGGGACTGCCTTCCATGTGGAAACCGATGTCCTCACTGCGGGAGAACATGCGGATCAAGAATATGGACCCACCACCAAGACACTACCCTTGAAGGACCATAATCGTAAGTAAGTAAGTAAGATATTAGAAAGCAGGTTTTTTATTTAAGACGTTGACATGCTGGCTGTTTGCAAACACTCTCTTTGGTGGTGAAATTCAGTGGACATCAGAGGAAACCAATTTATTTAGGTTCTGGTTTTAGCCTGCCACTTTTGGACTCTGGCTTGCTGAGTTGTTCCTGCGAGTATCTCTGTAGATCTTAGGAAGCTATTTCTTGATTTAAAGTGTTGCCGTGCTGACTGATATCCGAACAGAGGATGGGCCAGAGATGTTACTGACTTGGTCTTTTCATTATGGGCTGGTAGTTCCCGACGGAAGTGGTGCAATACTGGCTAAACGATATAATTTCTCCAGCAGTGTCGGGCACAGACAATCTGTGATAATGCAACATGTCTCATTAAGAGCCTCAACCACTGTTTTAGCGTGGTGAGATGTGTTCCACACTAGGCATATTGAGCAGCAGAGTAGCAAAGCGCAAGGGCAGATGTCTTCACTGTGTCTGGTTGTGATCCCCAGGTTGTGCCAGTCAGCTTTTGAATGATATTGTTTCTAGCGCCCACTTTTTGCTTGATATTCAGAGAACGGTCCAGGGTCAAGAAACACAAAAGAACAAGATCTGGTGTCACAACTCCTCTATAGTTTTTTATTAGTTCGAGGACTACGTTTCGGTATACAGCTTAGCACAGAGCGCACGGTAAATTGTTCACGACTCTCGTGCGACACGAGGATGGGCCGCAAAGCTATGGCTGAGGTCAAAGTGCAAAGGGTCACCCCTAATAGTTGCATATAGACAGAAATATTGGACGGGGGGTGTTGGCGGCAGTGATGGTGCCCCCAAATCCGTGCAACGGCCCTCCAAGGTAGGCCCTCCCCACCAGCTCACAACAACCCTCCAGTGAAGGACTAGGCCACTGTTTTTCTCTTGCAACCCAACAACAGGTTTGGCTTGCAAGACTTCCCTGCAACAACCTTGCAAGGTAGATCTGGGGTTGCCATTCCCCATTGCAACCCTACAACAGCCCTGCAAAGTAGACTGAGGATGCAATACTTTCGTACAACAGCCTTGCAAGGTACATCTAGGGTTCTAATTCCCCATTGCAGCCCTACAACAACCCTCCAAAACTTGCAAGGTTTAGATTGCAATACTTTGCTACAACAGCCTTGCAAGGTAGATCTGAGGTTGCCATTTGCCATTGCAACCCAAGAACAGCCCTGCATGGGAGGTTCAGGATGCAATACATTCGTACAACAACCTTGCAAGGTGGGTCTGGGTATCCATTTCACATTACAGCCCGGCGACAGCCCTGCAAAGTAGGCTCAGGATGCAATACTTTCGTACAACAGCCTTGCAAGGTACATCTAGGGTTCTAATCCCCCATTGCAACCCTACAACAACCTGCAAATGAGGTTTGGGTTGCAATACCTTCCTGCAACAGCCTTGTAAGATAGCTTGGGGTTGCAATACTTTCCTACAACAGCCTTGCAAGGTAGATCTGAGGTTGCCATTTGCCATTGCAACCCAAGAACAGCCCTGCATGGGAGGTTCAGGATGCAATACATTCCTACAACAACCTTGCAAGGTGGGTCTGGGTATCCATTTCACATTGCAGCCCTACAACAGCCCTGCAAAGGAGGTATGGGTTATAACTCCCCATTGCAGCCCCGCGACAGCCCTGCAAGGGAGGTTGGGGCTGCAATACTTTCCTGCAACAGCCTTGCAAGGTCAGTCAGGATGTTGCTGCCCTACGACAGCCCAGCAATGTCAGTCCAGGTTGCAATTCTACAAACTGGGTCTGGGTGGCATTCTTCCTTGCCGCCCTACAACAACACTGCAAGGTAGGCTTGGGTTGAGATGCAGCCCCGCTTTCCCAGAATGGCGCCGGACTCTCGGTGGCTATGTGGCTCTCTCTGGTGGCTACGAAAGCAGCAGCAGCTGGGGCGGAAGAGGGAGTGGCTTAAGATGAAGGGAAGCAAGTGGGGGTCCCTGGAGGCGGGGCTTGGGAGGGGCGGGGCCTCAGTAGGCATGGTTTTCCACGTAGAGGGACTGCCCCGCGGCCCCGGAGTCTTCACCCGAACCTTCGTATTGGCCCAGGGCCGCCTGGCTGTTGGCCTGGGGAAACAGAGAGAAATGGGAAATAAAATACAAAATAAACAACATTTCTAACCCTAAAGAAAACAAATTGCAAAAAAATTCCCAGGAAAAAAAATTCAAAAATTTTCAAAATTCTATGCAAAAATTTGTTTTAAAAAATCTGCAATTTGTACGAATTGTAATATTGTTAAGAAATTTCAAAATTCTACGTGAAAATTGTAAAAAAAACCATCCTGCAATTCATACAAATTGTAATATTGTTTGGAACTTTCAAAATTCTGTGCACAAATGGCAAACCTTTCTAAATTTGTCCATATAGAGAAAGTTGAAATTCTTGACCACAGCCTGCATTATACAGTTTGCAAGGAAGCCGAGGTCACACACTCTCAGCCTCTACAATCAAGCTAAATACAAGCCTGTCCTGATGAGATCATTTATGTAGGTTAATTGTTAAGTTTAATTTATATGTAAGTCGGAATGGATACATTTTTTAAAAAGTGTATATATGTGTGAATTTTTTCTAAAATATTATAAAGTATCCATACTCCGTATAATAACTATTAACCAATGTTTAGTTACTTTTCCATACTATATATTGCAGCATAGTGGTATAGTACTGTGGGTATAGTTGTATAGCATAGTTCATTCCTTCATTTGGGGTGCATATCCTCACCTGAGCCCGCTTGATGAACTCCTCGGTAGCGGCCTCCTCGTTATCCCTTTCCCCACGCCAGGCATTGAGGGCCGAGGCCTGAAGCGCCCGGCCGTAAGAGAAGGTCAATGCCCAGGGCTTGGCCAAGGGGCAGTTGTTGATGGCGTTCAGGTTCAGGGAGGCCTCCTCCTCACTCTGCCCGCCGGACAGGAAGGTGATCCCTGCAGAGAGAAAGGCCAAGGTGGGTGAATGGGAGAACTCCAGTCTGGGTTTCACCTCCAGCATCCGCTAAAGGTTAGGGCAAGTGGCTGGGATTAAGGGCTGTCATGGGCTGTATCTGGAGATCAGTGCTTATATCTCTTTGAAAATGGAAGTTTGTTATCTAGATGTAAAGACAGCGTTCTTACATGGAGTAATAACAGAAGAGATATACATGAAACAACCACCACATTTTATAGCCAAGGAGCAACCTCGTCTTGTCGGCAAACTTAAAGAAGGACTGTATGGTCTCAAACAAGCCGCCAAAGCTTGGAATGATAAACTTGATGCAATGTTAACACAATTACATTTTAAACAAGGAGAAGCAGATCAATGTTTATATATAAGAAGCGAAAATGGACGTTTAGCCTATGTTAAAGTTATGATCTCCAAAAGGTGTTTTCCAAAAGGTTAAGGGCTCAGCACACTTGGACCCTTTGTACAGGTCAATAAACAGCAAGTACAGTGGGGAGAACAACATGGTGGCCTTGGGTGAGTCACACTCTCAGCTTTAAAAAAAGCCATGGTAATAATATAATAATAAATTATTTTATATATATATATATATATATATATATATATATAAATATAATTTATTCTTGTGGCGGCGAGTTCCCCAGGCCACGCAACGGCAAGAAGCCCTTGTTCTTCCCAAGCTGGGTGTTGCTGCGAATGGGCATGTTTCGGGAGATGTAGTGCACCATGAATGTCCCCCAAAAGAAGGGGGACGGGGGGAGGACCAGAGGGAGGCAACAGGCTACCTGGCACTGCTGGTGGAACGGTCCGGCGCAGGGCAGTGACGGTGGCCATGGCAATCTCCTCTGGGTTGTACTTGGTGGAGCAGGCATGGCCTGGGGTCACCATGTTGGGCTTGAGCAACGTCCCTTCAAGGTAGACGTGGTGGTCACTCAGGGCTTTGTAGACCGCAGCCAGGACCTGTTGGGTAGACAAGAAGAACCACAAGAGATGAGGAGAGAGCTGCACTCCTGAAGGAGGAGGCCAAAGGGGCTGCTGAGACCCTTTGGTGTGGGAGTGGTCTTACCTTCTCGGTCACATACTGGCAGCGCTTCAGGTCATGCTCCCCATCAGGCAGGATCTCCGGCTCCACAATGGGCACGATACCATTCTGGAACATAAAGAAAAGGGTTGTGAGCAGGTCCATGTCCCATTAAGGTTTGCTTTGTCAGGGATGGCTGAGAGGGTGGCACCCTGCCTGCCCCCAGGGCAAGCCAGACAGGGTCTCCATTGGTCGGGCCACACAACTAGACTGACTGCACGCCTCAGGAATGGAACTCCCGAGACCTTGGGGAACTACAAATTTCAAAACTTTGGGGAACTCTTGATACCTCAGGGATCTACAACTCCTGAGATATTGGGGAAACTGCAACTCCCGAAACTCTCAAGACTTTGAGGAACCCCTGAGGCCTTAAGGAACTACTGCTCCCAAGACCTTAGAAAACTACAACTCCAGAGACCTTCGGAAACTACATCTCCTGAAACTTTGGGGAAATACATCTCCTGACACCTTGGGGAACTACAGCTCCCAAGATCTTGGGAAACTACAACTCCTAGGATCTTGGTGGAACTACAACTCCTGAGAACTTGGGGAACTACGTCTGCTGATACTTTGGTGGAACCACAACTTCTGAGAGTTTGGGGAAACCCTGATGCCTTGGGGAACTACACCTCCTGAGACCTTGGTGGTACTACAACGGCCGAGACCTTTGAGAACTCCTGGCATCTTGGGGAACTGCAACTCCAGAGGCCTTGGCGAACTACAACTCCCAACGCCTTGGAGAACTATGTCTCCCGAGATCTTAGAAAATTGCAACTCCCGGTAACTTAGGGAACTATGCCCCCCCCCCCCACCTCACCTGCTGGCAGATGCTGGCGTAGCGTGCCAGGACGTTGGCATTCTCCATGATGGCCAAGGATGATGGCGTGTGCTCCGTGATCTTGAGGACACAGCGCCACTTGGCAAAGTCGGCCCCGTCCTTCTTATACTGGGCGCAGCGCTCCGAGAGGCCGTCCAGACCTGGCATTGATCAGGATTGGTCACTGCAGAGCTGCCCAAAGGACCTGCCTTCAAACAGCTTTGCAGCTACAGACCCAGTGAGCGGCAGGGTATTGATACTCAATCCGTATTGGAAAGCTATTGAGAGCCATTAGACAGACAAAAGACCCATTCCTGTTTGGCATTGTGACTTAATCTGTATTAGAAAGTGATTGAGAGCCATTGGCTATACAAAAGACCCTATTCCCAATGGTTTTCATGATAAGCTGGTATGATATGGATTTTGGACTAAACTCTCATGGGAAAGCAATTGATTAGGGACTATTGGAAGTCATGGCTGCAAGCCTGCATTGGTGGAAGGTGGGTTGGGATGGATGACCGTTGAGTGTCTATAATTTTATATAATAATAATAATAATAATAATAATAATAATAATAATAAATCTTCCAAGGTGTCAATTATATTCAAAGCAATACCTTGGGTGGTGGTTTCCCCATCAGTCCCAGCGAGCGGCACGACCCCTTTGTCCACCTAAGAAGAGAGGATAACAACACCCATCATCCACAGCACATGACAAATATGCTCCAAAGAGGAGGAGGATGCCACCACCCACAAACGCACCTTGATGCCGACCATAATGTCCTTCTCCTTGATCATGTCCACGAAGGGGGTCCCGTCGTCAGCCCGCTGGTACATGGTTTCGTGGAAGAAGATGACCCCTCCGATGCAGCTCTGGATGCGGCTGTCGGCGCTGAAGAGGAGCTGGCGGTAGAGCCGGCGGTTCTCCTCTGTGTTCTCCACCCCGATCTGGTTCAGGCGCTTGGCCATGCTGCCTGGAAAGGAAATAATAATAATAATAATAATAATAATAATAATAATAATAATAATAATCAACAAAGTATGGATTGTCGATGTTGCAATCCCAGGTGACAACAGAATTGATGAGAAGCAACTGGAAAAGCTGACACAATATGAGGATTTAAAGATTGAACTGCAAAGACTCTGGCACAAGACAGTCAAGGAGGTCCCAGTGGTGATGGGCACACTGGGTGCAGTGCCTCAAGACCTTGGCCTGCACTTAAACACAATCAGCACTGATAAAATTACCATCTGCCTGATGCAATCCGTCCCGCTGAAAATGCATCAAAGAACATGGTTAACGTTCAAAAGTATTTGTGACTCACCGACGGACTCATCAGCGGCCAGGATGCCCTTCCCAGGGGCCACAATCCGCTGGGCGATGTCCGCCAGCTCCTTCTTCTGCTCCGGCTCCAAGGCCGGATACTGGTGCGTCATCTCCGCTGGTGGTGTTACACCTCTGCAAACAGTAAAAGAAGGGAGAGATTGATCTTTCCAAGTCCAAGCCAGCATTGTATATTTTATTCCTGACTCAGACCTACCATGTTGACCTAGGTGCCCATTCATCCAATGGATCCATGATGCATGGGAGTAAAACCCCATCTGCACTGAGCACTGAATGCAGTTTTGAACCAGTTGGTTTCACTGTGCAGGAGGCCTGGATGGTCTATTTGTGGCTTAAATATTATCCAAAAGGGGGTCAGGTTGAGACTCAAATATTACCCACAACGGGTCCATTTGTGCCTCAAATATTACCCAAAAGGGGGTTCATTTGTGACTCAAATATTACCCAAAAAGGAGTCCATTTGTGCCCTAATTGTTACTCAAAAGGGGTCCATTTGTGCCCTAAATAATACCCAAAAGGAGGTCTGTTTGTGTCGTAAATATTACCCAAAAGGGGTCCATATGTGCCTCAGATATTACCCAAAAGAGGGTCCATTTGTGGCCTAAATATTACCCAAAAGGGGGTCCATTTGTGGCCTAAATATTACCCAAAAGGGGGTCCATTTGTGGCCTAAATATTACCCAAAAGGGGGTCAATTTGTGCCCTAAATATTACCAAAAGGGGGTCAGGTTGTGACTCAAATATTACCCAAAAGGGGGTCCATTTGTGCCCTAAATATCACCCAAGAGGACCATTTGTGACTCAGATATTACCTAAAAGGGGATCCATTTGTGACCTAAATATTACCCAAAAGGGGGTCAGTTTGTGCCCTAAATATTACCCAAGAGGGTTATTTTTGTACCTCAAATATTACCCAAAGAGGAGGTCCATTTGTACCCAAAATATTACCCAAAAGGGGGTCAGTTTGTGACCCAGATATTACCCAAAAGGGGTCCATTTGTGCCTCAAATGTTACCCAAAAAGGGGGTCAATTTGCACCCTAAATATTACCCAAAAGGGGTACATTTGTGACTCAAATATTATCCAAAAGTGGGTCAATTTGTGACTCAAATGTTACCCAAAAGGGGATCCATTTGTGCCCTAAATATTATCCAAAAGGGGGTCAGTTTGTGTCATAAATATTACCCAAAAGACGGTCCATTTGTGCCCTAAATATTGCCTGAAAGGGGGTCCATTTGTGGCTCAGATATTACCCAAAAGTGGGTCCATTTGTGACTCAAATGTTACCCAAAAGGGAGTCCATTTGTGCCCTAAATATTACTCAAAAAGGGGTCAGTTTGTGCCAAAAGTGAGCCCTAAATACAACCCACAAAGCTTGAATGTGCATTTAGTGTGGATGGGACCCATCCAAGCTTTTGTTTCCATGTTAACTGAGCTTTGGATAATAATAATAATAATAATAATAATAATAATAATAATAATAATAATAATAATAATAATATCTTTCCTGCCTCTCCTTGTGACTCAAGGCAAGTCACAGCACAGTCAAAACACTTGCAAAACTTTAAACATACCTATTTGTTCAAAAAGTATATTCTAACAAAGGGACGAAGATGGAAGAGGTTAAGACTTCTGCATAGCTTTACAATAAAAAGGATTTGGGGAAATCAAGCAAAATTGAATAGAGGAGGAACCTCTCCTTTTGGGGGAGTGGAAGGCCATATTAAAAACAACTACCAATCGCGGAATCCAGTGTTAAGCCAGATTAAAAGCTCCCTACAGTTTTTACTCCAACGGCTATTTCTGCTCTGAGCAGGGCATTCAAGGCCGGGTGGCAAATCCCAGACGTGTCCAACTACAACTCCCAGCGTCTCATAGCACTGAACCAGAGCAGGCCAAGAGTCATCAATCAGCATTAATCCAACCGTGTGGAAGGACTTCCAAGAGGAGCGGGTCATGGAAGGGCATTATATAAGGCCTAGGGTGTCCTTATGGGAATCGCAATGGCCACGTGTCCAGTCCCATGGCCCCTGTCCAGATGGCATGAGGCACGTGGCCACTGCCCAAGGCTCCATTTACTAGCCAGGCAGAAGGATTAAGCCCAGCAAAGCTAGAAACATCCCATCATCCTTGGTTCGATGGTCATCACATCCTCCATTATCCCCTCAGCATGTTTCCTGCATCATCATCATCATCATCATCATATATATACATATATTATATATATATATAACAACAACAACAGGAATGGCATTACAATGAGAACAACAACAATGGTGGACGCCATGTCATTAAGCTTATGATTCCATTCCGGGTTTTCCCTCGACCTCTCCTTGGTGCTGAAATGATTTCAGACTCAGGACCTTGGAGAGCTCCTATCCAGCTAGGAATAAAACCCGGACTGGATTTTCCTCTCGACTGAAATAAATATTTTTCTCTCTCCTTTTGGCTTTCCCCCCTGGTCCTTCCTTCATCAGCGTAAAGAGTGTTGCCATTAGTTTAAATCTACCCTTTTCCTTGAATTCAATCCATAATCATTACAATGTTGGTGATTGGGACACCCTCTCCAATCTGGTCTGGGCCCCTTTTGGCCTCAGTCATCCCCATTTGTACAAAAGGAAGGCTCATGGGTCCCTTTGTGTCCTAAATATTACCCAAAAAGGTTTTTAAAAGTCCTGAATCCTACCCAAATGGCTAGTTTCCAAACTTGATATACTTTGCTTTTCCTGGAGCTGAAAGGGTGACTCTGAGCATGTGCAGAGGATGATTTCCCTTTAGAAGGCAAGTTTGGGGTCCCTTTGTCCCATCATCCTTTTCTATGGTGGGCCCTATCGGATTAAATGGGGAAGAAGAGCCCCCAAACCCCTCATGGCACATTGGGAAGGAAGGAAAGAAATAAGTAAAGAAAAGAAATAAGGAAGGAAGTAAAAGATAGAAGGAAGAGAGGAACAAAAGAAAGAAGGAAATAAGGGAAGGAAGGAAAGAAATAAGGAAGGAAGATGCAAGAAAGGAAGAAGGGAAGAAGGAGGGATGGAAAGAAGAAGGAAGGTGGGAAAAAGAAATAAGGAAGGAAAGCAGGAAGAAAGGGAATGTAAGAAGGAAGGAAAGAAGAAAGGAGGGAAAAATAAATAAGGAAGGAAAGAAGGAAGGGAAGAAGGAAGGAAATAAACAAATAAGGAAGGAAAAGGAAAGAAAGAAGGGAAGAAGGAAGAATGGAAGGGAAGAAGGAAGTAGAGAAACAAATAAGGAAGGAAAAAGGAAAGAAAGGGAAGGAAGAAGGAAGGAAATAAACAAATAAGGAAGGAAAAAGGAAAGAAAGAAGGGAAGAAGGAAGGATGGAAGGGAAGAAGGAAGGAGAGAAACAAATAAGGAAGTAGAGAAACAAATAAGGAAGAAGGGAAGAAGGGAGGAAGGAAGGAGGGAAAAATAAGGAAGAAATGAAATAAGGAAGAAGGAAAGAAAGAAATAAGGAAAAAGAAGGAAAAAAGGAAGGGAAGAAGAAAGGAAAGAAATAAGGAAGGAAGAAGGAAAGCAAGAAGGGAAGAAGGAAGTATGGAAGGAAGGAAAGAAGGAATGAGGAAAAAGAAATAGGAAGGAAAGAAGGATAGAAATAAGGAACTAAGAAGGGAAGGAAAGAAACAAATAAGGAAGGAAGACAGAAGGAAGGAAGGAAAGAAGGAAGGAGCGAAAAAGAAATAAGGAAGGAAAGAAGGGAGAGAAGAAGGAAGAACGGAATGAAATAAGGAAGGGAAGAAGGGAAGAAAGAAACAAGGAAGAATGGAAGGAAGGAAAGAAGGGGGGGAAAGAAATAAGGAAGGAAAGAAGTCAAAGAAATAAGAAGGGAAGAAACAAATAAGGAAGGAAGGAAAGAAAGAAGGAAGGAAGGCAGGCCTCCTCACCGGTGTTTCTCCTCCCAAAGAGCGGCTGGATGTGCAGACAGCGTCGGAGTCGCTTCGGATGTCAAATCTGCCTTGAGTGCTGCAGAGCTACGTGACTCTGGATAAGGCAGGCAAGGGGGCGGGGCCTCATTTGCATAAGCCACACCCCCTGTTCCTGCCCCTCCCTCTTTGCAGCTGTGCCTTAAGAGTGCCTCTGAGCACGTGCAGAGTGCTTTCCCAGGAATGCTTCATTAGATTTTGCTGTTTCGTATTGTACTGTATTGTTTCGATTCGCATCATCCTTATCTTCTGCTATATTATTTACATTATGCTGACATCACGACTTGTATGACGATTTGCATTCTTTTATTATTATTTTATTGCGATTTGCATCATTCTCATCAGTATTAATGTTATTACATGATTTGCATTTTATTGTTACATTTCAGGACCATGATTTATCTTTTTGTGTATTTTATACTCTTACCACCATATTTTATTTCAGGTTACGATCAATATTATATTTATTTATAACCCAGCTTTTCAGTTCAGGTGCTGAGACCCTAAGTGCCTTGCAACCATATGTGTATGTACATACATACATACATACATACATACATACATATATATATATATATATGTACTAGCTGTACCCGCCATGCTCAACCTTCCCTCCCTTTCTCTCCTTCCTTCGCTCCCTCTTTCCTTTCTTCCTTCCATTTTCTTCTTTCCTTCTCTCCCTTTTTCTTCCTTCCCTTTCTCTCCTTTCTTCCTTCTCTACCTCTTTCCCTTCTTCCTTTTGCTTTTCCTCTCCTCTTTCCTTCTTCCTTTCTTTTCCTCCTCTTTCCTTCTTCCCTTTCCCTTCCTTTGCTCCCTTTTCCTTCCTCTTCCTTTTCTTCTTTTTCTCTCCCTCTTTCCTTCCTTCCCTTTTCTTTTTCCTTCTCTCCCTCTTTCCTTCCTTCCCCTTTTCTTTTCCTTCCTCTTTCTCTACTTTCTTCCTTCTCTATCCCTTTCCTTCCCTCCTTCGCTTTTTGCTTCCATCCTTCCTCCTCTTTCCTTCCTTCCTTTGCTTTTGGCTTCCATCCTTCCTTCTTTCCTTCCCTTTCTTTCTCTCCTTCCTTCTCTTTTCCCCCCTTCTCTCCTTCCTTTCTTCTCTCCCTCTTTCCATCCTTCCCCTTTTCTTTTCCTTCCCCTTTCTCTCCTTTCTTCCTTCTCTACCCCTTTCCTTCCCTCCTTCGCTTTTTGCTTTCATCCCTCCTCCTCTTTCCTTCCTTCCTTCCTTTGCTTTTGGCTTCCATCCTTCCTTCTTTCCTTCCCTTTCTTTCTCTCCTTCCTTCTCTTTTCCCCCCTTCTCTCCTTCCTTTCTTCTCTCCCTCTTTCCATCCTTCCCCTTTTCTTTTCCTTCCCCTTTCTCTCCTTTCTTCCTTCTCTACCCCTTTCCTTCCCTCCTTCGCATTTTGCTTTCATCCCTCCTCCTCTTTCCTTCCTTCCTTTGCTTTTGGCTTCCATCCTTCCTTCTTTCCTTCCCTTTCTTTCTCTCCTTCCTTCTCTTTTCCCCCCTTCTCTCCTTCCTTTCTTCTCTCCCTCTTTCCATCCTTCCCCTTTTCTTTTCCTTCCCCTTTCTCTCCTTTCTTCCTTCTCTACCCCTTTCCTTCCCTCCTTCGCTTTTTGCTTTCATCCCTCCTCCTCTTTCCTTCCTTCCTTCCTTTGCTTTTGGCTTCCATCCTTCCTTCTTTCCTTCCCTTTCTTTCTCTCCTTCCTTCTCTTTTCCCCCCCTTTCCTTCCCTCCTTCGCTTTTTGCTTTCATCCCTCCTCCTCTTTCCTTCCTTCCTTCCTTTGCTTTTGGCTTCCATCCTTCCTTCTTTCCTTCCCTTTCTTTCTCTCCTTCCTTCTCTTTTCCCCCCTTCTCTCCTTCCTTTCTTCTCTCCCTCTTTCCATCCTTCCCCTTTTCTTTTCCTTCCTCTTTCTCTCCTTTCTTCCTTCTCTACCCCTTTCCTTCCTTCCTTTGCTTTTTGCTTCCATCCTTCCTCCTCTTTCCTTCCTTCCTTTGCTTTTTGCTTCCATCCATCCTTCTTTCCTTCCCTGCCTTTCTCTCCTTCCTTTGCTCCTTCTTTCCTTCCTTCCCTCTTTTCCTTCCTTCTCTCCTTCCCTTCTTCTCTACCTCTTTCCTTCCTTCCCCATTTTCTTTTCCTTCTTTCTTCCTTCTCTATCTCTTTCCTTCCTTTCTTTGCTTCCATGCTTCCTTCTCTCTTTCCTTCTTTCCCCCCTTCCTTCCCTCCCTCTTCCCTTTTTTCTGTATCGTCATTTAGCTTTTCATCATTTAGCTTGTTTGGATTTATTGACTCTGGTTTTTTTTGGGGGGGGGGTTAATGAGTGATGGTCACTCGTTGGTCTATTAGGGGTGTAGTGTCCAAATTTGTTGTCAATTCACCCAGTAGTTTTTGAGTTCTGTTAATCCCACAAACGAACATTACATTTTTATTTATATAGAAGTGTGTATATATTTATACTCTGCCGTACAAAGAAATCCACTCCACTTTAATCTCCTGCGGTAATTAATTCGGTCTGTGGTCATTGTATGTAAACATATAGAGGTAATCACCTTAAGACACCCTTAGAGGTCATGGGAGGTGAGCGCCTCAAATCTTGGCTTAAAGAAACATTTAAGGTTCCCTTAGGGAAATAATAGTAGTAGCAGCAGCATTAATAATAACAATAATGGTGGAAATGACCCCGGGTGACCCCATCTACCTGCCAAGAAGCCTTTAAGGTAATAATAGCAATAGTAATAATAATATATTGATAATAATAATAATGGTGGAAATGACCCTGGGTGACCCCATCTACCTGCCAAGAAGCCTTTAAGGTAATAATAGCAATGGTAATAATAACATATTGATAATAATAATAGTGGTGGAAATGACCCCTGGAGATCCCATCCACCTGCAAATGAGCTCTTAGGGAAATAATAGTAAATAATAATAATAATAATAATAATAATAATAATAATATAAGGATAAATAATAGTATAATATTGATGATAATAATAATAGTAATAATAATAATGATGATGATGATGGTGGAAATGACCTCTGGAGACCCCATCCACCTGCAAAGAAACCTTTAAAAGCCAGCATTTAAAAATTTTAATCATTACATTTGGCCCGGCCTTAGTTTTAAATGTGTCATGGTGTTATTGTCTAATGTTTATTGCTATTGTTTTAATGTCTATTGCTTGTTTTATGAGTTTATTTATTGTTGTATTTGTTATGCTGTTGTTTTATTGATGTGTTGGGCCTCGGCCTCTTGTAAGCCGCACCGAGTCCTTCGGGAGATGTTAGCGGGGTATAAATAAAGGTTTATTATTATTATTATTATTTAAGAAAATAATAGCAATACTAATATTAATATATTGATGATAATAATGGTGGAAATGGCCCCTGGAGACCCCATCCACTTGCAAAGGAGCTCTTAGGGAAATAATAGTAATAATATATAATAATACATAATAAACAATAAATTAATATTGATAATAATAATGGTGGAAATGATCCATGGAGACCCCATCCACCTGCAAAGGAGCTCTTAGGGAAATAATAGTAATAAATAATAATAATAAAATATAAGAATAAATAGTATAATATCAATGATAATAATAATGGTGGAAATGACCCCTGGAGACCCCATCTACCTGCAAAGGAGCCCTTAGGGAAATAATAGTAATAGTAATAATAATAATAATAATAATAATAATATACATATATAATACATAATAAACAATAAAATATAATAATAATGGCAGAAATGACCCCTGGAGACCCCATCTACCTGCAAAGAAGCCTTTATGAAAATAATAGAAATAGAAATAATAATAATAAATAATAATAATACATAATAAATAAAAATATAATATTGATAATAATGATGGAAATCACCCCTGGCGACCCCATTATCCTGCAAAGGCTCCCTTAGGGAAATTATAGTAATAATAATAATATTAATGGGTTGTTGTAGGTTTTTTCGGGCTATATGGCCGTGTTTTAGAGGCATTCTCTCCTGACGTTTCGCCTGCATCTATGGCAAGCATCCTCAGAGCCTTTGACAATAATAATAATAATAATAATAATAATGGGGGAAATAACAGAAATAATAATAATGATGATGATGGAAATGACCCAATGATCCCTGGAGAGCTCATCTACCTGCAAAGAAGCCTTTACGAAAATAATAGAAATAATAATATATGATACATAATAAAAATATAATATTGATAATAATAATAATGGGGGAAATAACAGAAATAATAATAATGATGATGGAAATGACCCGTGGTGACCCCATCTACCTGCAAAGGCTTCCCTTAGGGAAATTATAGTAGTAGTAGTAATAATAATAATAATAGTGGAAATGACCCCTGGTGATCCCATAAACTTGTGAAGTTGCCCTTAGGGAAAGAATAATAATTATATAGTAAATGAATGAATGAATAATAAAATTATCTTTGTTGTTGACATGCAACAATCTATTATTATATTGTTGTTGCGTACCAACTAGTTGCATCAGGTCCATTAGCGATCCCACAGCATTACTTTGGATGCATGCATTATGGATGAAGGGGTGGCATCCATAATGACGCAGCAAGAAAATGTCGAAAAATAAAACAAAACAAATCCTCTTTTTTGGGAGGGCGGCTATTACTCAGCATCGTTTCTGCCAATAGCTTTGCAAAGAGCTAGGCCAGGACTGAATCTATGGGAGAGTCACACTCTCTCGGCCTCGGAGGAAGGCGAGCTTTTCACTCGGTGCTGCCGCATAGACGGCAGTGCGTAACCCATCGCCCCAGGGCCTGTTCCGGCACCATTCGTCCTCCCTTTCGGGTGACCTAGCTTTGTGTTTCTCTCCACCCAACGCAAAGGATGAGAGGGCTTTATCCTCCTTCCCTCCCTCCCTCCCGTGACCTAGATTCCTTCCTGCCTTTGTGGCTGCCTCTCAGTCTGCTCATGAAAGCCCATTCGTCCTCAGTAGAGACTATAAAGCCCATTAGTCCTCAGTAGAGAGACTATAAAGCCCATTCATCCTCAGTAGAGACTGTAAAGCCCATTCGTCCTCAGTAGAGAGACTGTAAAGCCCACATTGGAGAGACTATAAAGCCCATTCATCCTCAGTAGAGATTGTAAAGCCCATTAGTCCTCAGTAGAGAGACTATAAAGCCCATAGGTCCTCAAGTAGGGACTTGAAAGCCCACTAGTCCTCAGTAGATACTGTAAAGTCAATTAGTCCTCAGTAGAGAGACTGTAAAGCCCACATTGGAGAGACTGTAAAGCTCATTAGTCCTCAGTAAAGAGACTATAAAGCCGATTAGTCCATAGTATAGACTTTAAAGCCCATTAGTCCTCAGTAGAGAGACTATAAAGCCCATAGGTCCTCAGTAGAGACTTGAAAGCCCATTAGTCCACAGTAGAGACTGTAAAGCCCATTTGTCCTCAGTAGAGACCAAAAAGCCCATTCATCCTCAGTAGAGATTGTAAAGCCCGTTAGTCCTCAGTAGAGAGACTATAAAGCCCATAGGTCCTCAGTATAGACTTGAAAGCCCATTAGTCCTCAGTAGATACTGTAAAATCCATTTGTCCTCAGTAAAGAGACTGTAAAGCCCATTTGTCCTCAGTAGAGAGACTATAAAGCCTATCAGTCCATAGTATAGACTTTAAAGCCCATTAGTCCTCAGTAGATACTGTAAAGCCCATTAGTCCACACTGGAGTGGCTACAAAGCCCATTAGTCCTCAGTAAAGAGACTATAAAGCCCATAGGTCCTCAGTAGAGACTTGAAAGCCCATTAGTCCTCAGTAGAGACTATAAAACCTATTAGTCCATAGTATAGACTTTAAAGCCCATTAGTCCTCAGTAGAGACTGTAAAGCCCATTAGTCCACACTGGGGTGGCTATAAAGCCCATTAGTCCTCAGTAGAGAGACCATAGAGCCCATTAATCCATGTTGGAAAGAATGTAAAGCCCATAGTCCTCAGTAGAGACTGTAAAGTCCATTAGTCCACATTGGAGAGGCTATAAAGCCCATTAGTCCATAGTATAGACTTTAAAGCCCATTAGTCCTCAGTAAAGAAACAATAAAGTCCATTAGTCCACACTGGAGCGGCTATAAAGCCCATTTGTCCTCAGTAGAGAGACTATAGAGCCCATTAGTCCACACTGGAGAGAATGTAAAGCCCATAGTCCTCAGTAGAGACTGTAAAGCCCATTAGTCCACACTGGAGCGGTTGCAAAGCCCATTAGTCCACATTGGAGAGACTGTAAATCCCATTAGTCCTCAGTAGAGACTGTAAAGCCTATTAGTCCTCAGTAGAGAGACTATAGAGCCCATTAGTCCACACTGGAGAGAATGTAAAGACCATAGTCCTTAGTAGAGACTGTAAAGCCCATTAGTTCACACTGGAGCGGCTGCAAAGCCCATTAGTCCACATTGGAGAGACTGTAAATCCCATTAGTCCTCAGTAGAGACTGTAAAGCTCATTACTCTGCAGTTCAGAAACTGCAGAGCCCATCCAACTTTGTGGCTGCAAAACCCACAGTAGAGAAAGAACGAACTGACCAGGGTTTGCAAGACACAACAACACAAACTGTTTAATTTAACTATATACATGTTGACAGTGAAAGGGTCCAAAGGGGTCTCAGGCGTCAGGTTCGAGGAGGCGGCAGGCCTGGCCAACATCGGGGGGTGAAGCAGACAGAGCCTGGATGAGAGGAAGGGGGAGAGAGAGGGGTCAGCCGGACACTACTCATCCAGGGCACGAGGCCGGAGGACTACCCATCCCATGGGTCCCCGACTCGCTCACCGCCTTGATCTCGGCCTGGGTCTGCTCGTGTTTCCTCTGCATTTTTTTGGCTTGGAAAAGCTGGGCCTCGAGGCTCCGCATCTGGAAAAGAAGAGAAGAAAACAGGGAAGATGGAGGACGAATGGAAAGGAAAGGAGGGGTGGAGGAAGGCAAAGAAAAGGAGGGATAGAGGGAAAGGGGAAAGAGAAGGGATGGGCGCAAAGAAAAAAGAGGGATGAAGTCAAAGGAGGAATCAAGGTAGAGAAAAGGAGGGATAAAAGAAAAGTAGAGATGACAGTAAAGAAAAGAAGGGATGAAGGTGGAGAAAAGTAGGGTTTGAGGGAAATAAAAGGAGAGATGGAGGTGGAGAAAAGGAGGGATTGAGAGAAATTAGAGGGATGGAGGTGGAGAAAAGGAGGGATTGAGGGAAATAAAAGGAAGGAATGGAGGTGGAGTAAAGGAGAGATGGAGGGAAATAAAAGGAGGGATGGAGGTGGAGAAAAGGAGAGATGGAGGTAGAGAAAAGGAGGGATAGAGGTGAAGAAAAAGGAGGGATGGAGGGAAATAAAAGGAGGGATGGAGGTAGAGAAAAGGAGGGATGGAGGGAAATAAAAGGAGGGATGGAGGTAGAGAAAAGGAGGGATGGAGGGAAATAAAAGGAGGGATGGAGGTAGAGAAAAGGAGGGATGGAGGGAAATAAAAGGAGGGATGGAGGTGAAGAAAAGGAGGGATGGAGGTGAAGAAAAAGGAGGGATGGAGGGAAATAAAAGGAGGGATGGAGGTGGAGAAAAAGGAGGGATGGAGGGAAATAAAAGGAGGGATGGAGATGGAGAAAAAGGAGGGATGGAGGGAAATAAAAGGAGGGATGGAGATGGAGAAAAGGAGGGATGGAGGGAAATAAAAGGAGGGATGGAGGTGGAGAAAAAGGAGGGATGGAGGGAAATAAAAGGAGGGATGGAGATGGAGAAAAAGGAGGGATGGAGGGAAATAAAAGGAGGGATGGAGATGGAGAAAAGGAGGGATGGAGGGAAATAAAAGGAGGTATGGAGGTGGAGAAAAGGAGGATGGAGGGAAATAAAAGGAGGAATGGAGATAGATAAAAGAAGGGATGGAGGCAAAGAGAAGGATGGATGGAAGGTGAGAGCAGCCAGCCTGACCTGGTAGGCGCTTCGGGCGAGGATTTCCTTTTGCTCGCCGTCCTTGCGCAGGAGGATCTCCCTCAGTTTCTCCACCTGGAAAAGGCAAGGGCATCAATGGGAGGTGTGGATTGGGGCCTTCCTCCCCCCCAAAAGGACCCAATCCGCACTTCGTCCCGCAGCCAGATCTTTTCCCGCAAGGCGTCCCCTTCCGAGGGCTTCTTCGTCCGGTCCAGTTCCTCCCACAGCGCGGCCGACTCCCTCTCCGCTTTCTGGAGAGCGACTTTCAGCTGGGAGACTTCCTCCTGCAAAGTCTATAGGAGAGAGGGCAAAAAAATGGCCTTCTTAGTGGATCGGAATCCAAAGGGAACCCCCTGAGGTCATCCAGTCCAGCCTAGTAGACTCTCCGTTAACCGGAACCCATGGGGATTGGCTGGTGCTAGATAAAACGTCACTTCTGGTTGCTTCAGAGTAGACTCTCAGTTAACCGGAACCCATGGGGATTGACCGATGGTGGATAAACGTCGCTTCTGGTTGCTTGAGAGTAGACTCACTTAAGCAGAGGTCATCGGATTGGCTGATACTATATAAATGTTGTAATGTTGTTTTTGTACATTGCATTCTGTATTCATATATGTGTAGGGCTGGGGAAAGGGGTCCCTAAAGGTCATCTAGACCCACTCCTTTCTGCACAATAATAATATTAACAAAAATAATAGTATTTTGTGAATAAAGAATTCCTTACCGCAATTTCCCAGCTCTGGTCGCTCAGTTGCAGGAACCTCTTCTCTTGCTTCCGCATCAGTGCCTGCATCTCCTTTTCATTCTTTGGGGTTTGGAAAATAAAAAGAAAGAAAGAGGATTACAAGCCATTGCTTTCTGAAATAATCTGGTTTGGCCGTGACTATCGAACCTTGTCATGCGACACATAGCCAATAGGGTTGAACTATAACTCCCATCATCCCCCTACAGGGCCCATAATGGCTAGACCTGATGGGAGCTGTAGTCCAGCCGGTCCTGGCATTTTAATTCGGCGCTGGACTATTACTGGACTACAACTCCCACCATCCCGCAATGGTGAACCTGCCAGCTTGGCATGATGAGCAAGCAATTATCATAATCATCATCATCACCACCACTTTTATGGTCATTATATTATTATTTATTGATATATTATTATTATGCTGTTATCATCATCGTCGCCACGTCCACCTTTAAGGTCATTATATTATTATTTGTTTATATTATTATTATTATTATTATTATTATTATTACTACTACTATATCACCACCACCTTTATGGTCATTATATTATTATTATTTGTTTATACTATAATTATTACTACTATATCACCACCACCTTTATGGCCATTATATTATTATTTATATATTATTATGCTATCATCATCATCATCGTCACCACCTCCACCTTTATGGTCATTATATTATTATTATTTGTTTATATTATTATTATTATTATTATTATTACTACTATATCACCACCACCTTTATGGTCATTATATTATTATTTATAGATTATTATTATGCTGTTATCATCATCATCGTCGTCATCATCACCCCCCCCCACCTTTATGGTCATTATAATATTATTTGTTTATATATTATTATTATGCTGTTATCATCATCATCATCATCATCATCATCATCATCATCATCATCATCATTGTCGCCACCTCCATCTTTATGGCCATTTTATTATTATTATTTGTTTATATTATTATTATTATTATTATTACTACTACTATATCACCACCACCTTTATGGTAATTATATTATTATTTATATATTATTATTATGCTGTTACCATCATCATCATCGTCGTCGTCGTCGCCACCTCCACCTTTATGGTAATTATATTATTATTATTATTTGTTTATAATATTATTATTATTATTATTATTATTATTATTATTACTACTACTTCTACTACTACTACTATATCACCACCACCTTTATGGGCATTATATTATTATTTATATATTATTATTATTATTATTATTATTATTATTATTATTATTATTATCACCACCACCACCACCATCTTTATGGATATTATATTATTATTTATACTGGAGCTTCCAGGCTATGGGGTGGATGGGGGACTGCTGGGCTTCGTAGTGTGGTGGTTGCAGTGAGAAATAATCCTGACCTCCATGTGCTGGTGGAGCGCCTTGCTCAACTTAGATACATTGGTGTCAGCGGCTTCCTTTTCCTCCTGAAGCCTCTTCTCTGCGCCTTCCAAGCTTTGCTTCAGCTGCAAACTGTTCCCAAAAGGAAGGGGGGAAAAAAACAAAGCAATGAATCTACTCGGACTACAACACCCATCATCCCTGCATCCCCATCCAAGAAGTAGAAGGCGACGATCGTACTCACACTTCTGCCTTCAGGTTCCGAATTTCCTCGTTGCGGCTGGAAATCAGCTGGCGGATCTGGGCTGCGGCTCCTCGGAGGTCCCGAACGCAGCAGGAAAAGTCTTCCTGGATCTCTGTACCGTTTTTGGGAGAAAAATGGGGAAAAGAGCTGGGTTTGAAGGAAGAAAAACTCATTGGTTTGGGCCCGCCTCGCAAGGACGTTGTGCAAGGGAAGGAGGCAATCGGGGAAACATAACGGCGTGAAAGCATCCAAGTTCAAATCTCCACCTGAATATTCCACCATTATAATTACTATTATTTATTAGATTTATTACTTTATATAATTACTAAATATTATTGCTATATCAATGCTATATTTGTACTATATCAATACTGTACTATCACTAAATTACTATATTGATATTACAGTAACTATGTCATTACTATATTAATGCTATATTATCATCATACTGATACGATATTGAATGCTATATTGATGCCATACTAATACTATTATTATATTATTGTTATATTAGTGCTATATTGTTGCCATTAGTACCATATTATTACTATATTATTGTTATATTAGTACTATATTGTCACGATTAGTACCATATTATTACTGTTATTACCATTCATACCATATGACTATATTATTGCCATTAATACCATACTATTACTATATTATTGTTCATACCACAAAAAAATTGTTATATTAGTACTATATTACCATTAGTAACATATTATTACTATATTATTGCCATTTGTACCATATTATTACTATATTATTGCCATTAGTACCATATTATTACTATATTATTGCCATTAGTATCATATTATTACTATATTATTGCCATTCGTACCATATTATTACTATATTATTGTTATATTAGTACTATATTATCACCATTAATGCAATATTATTACTATAATATTGCCATTAGTACCATATTATTGCTATATTATCGCCTTGAATACCATATTATTACTATATTATCGCCATGAGTACCATATTATTACTATAGTATCGCCATGAGTACCATATTATTACTATATTATTGCTATGAGTACACCATTATTGCTATATTATCGCCATGAGTACCATATTATTACTATATTATCGCCTTGAGTACCACATTATTGCTATATTATCGCCATGAGTACCATATTATTACTCTATTATCGCCTTGAGTACCATATTATTACTATCGTATCGCCATGAGTACCATATTATTACTATATTATTGCTATGAGTACCACATTATTGCTATATTATCGCCATGAGTACCATATTATTACTATATTATTGCCATGAGTACCATATTATTACTATCGTATCGCCATGAGTACCATATTATTACTATATTATTGCTATGAGTACCACATTATTGCTATATTATTGCCATTCATAGCATATTTATTTATTTATTTATTTACTTTGCTTATATACCGCTGTTCTCAGCCCAGGGGCGACTCACAGCGGTTTACAACATAGGAACAACAAAATTCAAGACATAGTATAAAAACAATTCTGGCCCCAGAGTGGCCGTTGGTGTTGGGGGAGGGGCGCTGATGTCACAGGGGACAAGATGGCAATGTCCTCCCGGCTCCCCTTCATTATTCTGGCCCCAGAGTGGCCGTTGGTGTTGGGGGAGGAATGTTATTGCCATTCATAGCATACTATTACGATATGGTTATATTAGTACTATATTATCACTATTAATACAATATTATTACTATAGTATTGCCATGAGCACCATGTTATTGCTATATTATCGCCAGCAGTACCATATTATTGCTATATTATTGCCATTCATACCATTTTTTTACTATATTATTGTTATATTTGTACTATATTATTGCCAATAGTACCATATTACTATGTTATTGCCATTAGTACCATATTTTGCCATATTATTGCTGTATTAATGCTGTATTATTGCTATATTAATATTATATTATATTATTTATTTATTTACAACATTTATTATTTTTTATTTACGACAATATATTATCACTATATTAATGCTATATTATCACCATATTGCTACGATATGATTACTATATGATTACTATATTAATGCCATATTATTACTACATTAATATCATATTATTGCTTTATTGCTATATTATCACCATATTAATTCTATATATTGCTATATTAATGCCATATTATTGCTATATTATTACTATAATATAATATTATTGCTATATTATTGCTACATTATCGCTATTTATTGCTAAATTATTACTATAATTATACCATATTAATGCTATATTATTGCTACATTATCGCTATATCAATGCTATAAAATACTATAATGCTATATTAATACTGTATTATCACTATATCGTTGCTATATTAATACTATATTATTATTATTATAGCATCGTCATGAGCATTACCTGATGACCGCACTGGAATAGCTTTTGCGAAGGCTGTTGATTCGCTCAAAAGGCCCGGAGTCCGGGACTCTGAAAGAAAAACAAAGGTAAATAGACTATAATGGGGTTTGCTTCCAATAATAGTCATAGTTGCCGAAAACTGGAAAAGCTCAAAACACTTGGAAGAGATAGATTTGGGGATATATATAGTGGTCCACGCTCTTGTTACATCCCGTATAGCAGAGTTTCTCAACCTGGGGGTTGGGACCCCTGAGGGGGTCGCGAGGGGGTGTCAGAGGGGTCGCTAAAGACCATAAGAAAACAGTATTTTCTGATGGTTATGGGGATTCCATGTGGGAAGTTTGAGCCAATTCTATCGTTGGTGGAGTTCAGAATGTTATTTGATTGCCATGAACTATACATTCCAGAAACTACAACTCCCAAATGTCAAGATCTATTTTCCCCAGACTCCACCAGTGTTCACATTTGGGCATATTGAGTATTTGTGCCAAGTTTGGTCCAGATCCACCATCGCATGAGTCCACAGTGCTCTCTGGATATTGGTGAACTACAACTCCCAAATGTCAAGATCTATTTTCCTCAGACTCCACCAGTGTTCACATTTGGGCATATTGAATATTCGTGCCAAGTTTGGTCCAGATCCACCATCGCATGTGTCCACAGTGCTCTCTGGATATTGGTGAACTACAACTCCCAAACTCAAGGTCAATGCCCATCAAACCCTTCCAGTATTTTCCATTGGTCATGGGAGCCAAGTTTGGTTCAAATCCATTGCTGCTGGAGTTCAGATTGCTCTTTGATTGTAGGTGAACTATAAATCCTAGCAACTACAACTCCCAAATATCAGGTCTATTTTCCCCAAACTCCATCTGTGTTCACATTTGGCCATATTGAGTATTCGTGCCAAGTTTGGTCCAGATCCACCATCACATGAGTCCACAGTGCTCTCTGGATATAGGTGAACTACAACTCCCAAACTCAAGGTCAATGCCCATCAAACTCCTCCAGTGTTTTCCATTGGTCATGGGAGCCAAGTTTGGTTCAAATCCATCGCTGGTGGAGTTCGGAATGCTCTTAGATTATAAGTGAACTATATATCCCAGCAACTACAACTCCCAAATTACAAAATCAATCCTCCTCCCCAACCCCACTAACATTCACATTTGGGTGTATTGGGTATTTGTGCCCAGTTTGGTCCAGTGAATGAAAATGCATCCTGCATATCAGATATTTACATTATGATTTATAACAGTAGTAAAATGACTGTTACGAAGTAGCAACGAAAGCAATATTATGGTTGGGGGTCACCACACCATGAGGGACTGTATTAAGGGGTCACGGCATTAGGAAGGTTGAGAACCACTGCCGTATAGACTACTGCAACGCACTCTACGTGGGGTTGCCCTTGAAGACTGTTTGGAAACTTCAACTGGTCCAGCGAGTGGCAGCCAGATTGTTAACCGGAGCGACATACAGGGAACACACCACCCCCTTGCTGTGCCAGCTCCACTGGCTGCCGATTCAGTTCCGAGTACAATTCAAGGTGCTGGTTTTGACCTACAAAACCCTTTACGGTTCCGGTCCAGCGTATCTGTCCAAACGTATCTCCCTCTACGTCAAATCCCGGAATTTGAGATCATCCGGGGAGGCCCTGCTCTCGACCCCACCGCTATCACAAGTGAGGCTGGTGGGGACGAGGAGCAGGGCCTTCTCGGTGGTGGCCCCTCACCTGTGGAACTCACTCCCGGGGGAAATCAGGGCATCAACATCCCTCCTTGCCTTCAGGAGGAAGACAAATGCAAAGTGTTGATTGCTGTCGTCCTCTGGATAGCTGGGAGCTTTTCGAGCAGCTTGAGAACTACCAGGATTGATGGGAAGGGAAAATACAGGATTTTCTCTACATAACATTGATCATTTCGATCTATTAAAGCTCACCTCTTCCCGCCGCGGCTTGCAAGATGCTGTCGACGAAAGAGGAGCCGTGTTGGCGCGGCGCAGGGGTACGGTTTATAGAAGTTTCTTCAAGGTCGGCCATTTCTAGCATCTGCAAATGGACGCCTTTCATGTCCCAAAGAGATTTGGAAAGGGCCTCCAAGACGGCTCCGGTGCTGCGGGCCTTGGCTTCGGAGGCGACTAACTCCGCCCGGAGGGCGTCCTGTTCATCCCTATGGGAAAGAAACACAAAAAATTGTAATGATAATAATATAGTAATAAATAATAATAATAGTAATATTAATGAGGTTGCAAAGCATGACACTGTGCAACACTATTTGAAATAATAGTGTTGCACAGTGTCATGCTTTGCAACCTCATTATTATTAATAGTAATATATAATAATATTTTAATTATATGTTTTATTGTATTAATTATTATTAATAGTAATATATAATAATAATAAGGGTGCAAAGCACGTGCAACACAATTTGAAAAAAGTAATGATAATAATATAGTAATATAATAATAATGGATGCAACACAATTTGAAAAAATGTAATAATGATAATATAGTAATAATAATAATAATAATATATAAGAAGAAGGGTGGAAATAATGACGCTGTGCAACACAATTTGGAAAAATTTCAATAATGATAATATAGTAATAAGTATATATAATAACAGTATATAATAAGGAAAAATGTAATAATGATAATATAGTAATAATAATAATAATATATAAGAAGAAGGGTGGAAATAATGACGCTGTGCAACACAATTTGGAAAAATTTCAATAATGATAATATAGTAATAAGAATATATAATAGTATATAATAAGGAAACAATGTAATAATGACAATATAGTAATAATAATAATAATAATATATAAGAAGAAGGGTGGAAATAATGACGCTGTGCAATACAATTGAAAAACTGCAATAATGATAATATAGTAATAATATATAATAGTAAATAATAATAAGGAAAAATTGTAATAAAATATAGTAATATTAATAATACATATATAATTGTGTTACATATTATTATTATTATTATTATTGTATTTTATTTTAATATATATTATTATTTTATAATAAGTATAATAATAATAGTAAGAGTGCATGTAAACTGCAACACAATTTGGAAAAAATTGCAATGATGATAATATAGTAATAAGAATATATAACAATAATGGTAAATAATAATAAGGAAAATGGTAAAAATGATAATATAGTAATATTAGATATATATATATATATATAATTGTGTTAGATAGTATTATTATTATTTTATTATTATATATTATTATTTTACAATAAGTATAATAATAATAGTAAGAGTGCATGTAAACTGCAACACAATTTGGAAAAAATTGCAATAATGATAATATAGTAATAACAACACACAATAATAATAGTAAATCATAATAAGGAAAATTGCAATAATGATAATATAGTAATATCAATACACAATAATAATAGTAAATCATAATAAGGAAAAAATTGTAATAATGATAATATAGTAATAATATAATTGTTTATTATTATTATATATTATTATTTTATAATAAGTATAATAATAATAAGGGTACAGGTAAGACAGGCTGCAAGGCATGACACTGCAACACAATTTGGAAAAATGCAATAATGATAATATATTAATATTATAATAATTATAATATATTATATTATAATATTACATATTATATTATAATATTATATATTATAATATATTATATTATAATGATTATAATATATTAATATTATATTAATAATGATAATATATTAATATATATTAATATTAAGTAATAACAATATATAATAATAGTAAATAATAATAATAAAAATTGTAATAATAATATAGTAATATATATATATAATTGTGTTACATAGTATTATTATTATTGTATTTTCTTATTATATATTATTATTTTATTACAAGTATCATAATAATAGCAGTAGTGCAGGTAAGACAGGCTGCAAAGCATGACACTGCAACACAATTTGGAAAAAAATAGTAATAATAATATAATTGTGTTACATAGTATAATTATTATTGTATTTTATTATTATATATTACTATCATTTCAAAATAAAAAATATAATATAACATAATGTGCTATTGCAGGATGATTGGGCAGTTTAATAAATTATTTCCCATGTTCTTATGAAAGAACCAATTAGGAAATGACATTCATAACCCAGGAACAAAAATCATGCTACATTATTATTATTATTATTATATAATACAATTGTAATACAATAAGATAGGTGAAGAATAGGTGGATGGCAAGCCCAGGAAATGGGCCAAGGCGGAGGAGGAAGCAGCCTTACTGGAGGGTCTGGTGGGCTCCCTTGAGGTCCTCCATCTGGGCCCCTTGCTCTCTCAGGGCGGCCAGGGCAGATTTCAGCACCGCCTCGGTCTCTGCCTGATGGCGTCGCATGATCTCGTTTTCCTCCTCGATGAACTTTGGGGGGAAAAAGACGGAGAAACAAGAGATTAAGCGAAGCCGGGACTCGAATCTAATGTTCACCTTTGGGGGGGTAAATCGTCCCAACAAAATTGAGGCGCAAATAATAAGAATTATAATAATTATTATAACAACCCACTTGAGCTATGAGGCATTAGATTATCTTATTATTTTATTGTTATATTAGATCGTCTTAGAGCTGAGCCAAAGCCAAAGAGGGCGCACATTAGATTATCTTATTATAATATGACCTTATTAAAATATTATCTTATTCTATTGTTACTATATTATATTATGGTTATTATATTATATTAGTGATGAGCCAAAGTCAGAGGGGAAGCTCGAAATCAGGGTGCGCATTAGATTATCTTATTATAATACAACTATTATATTATTATATTATATTATTCCATTATTACTATACTAGCTGTACCCGCCACGCATTGCTGTGGCCAACCTTCCCTCCCTCTTTCTCTCCTTCTTTCCCTCTTTCCTTCCTTTCTTCTTTTTCTTTCCCTATCTCTCATCTTTCTTCCATCTCTACCTGTTTCTTTCCTCCCTTTCTTTGCTCTTTGGTTACATCCTTCCTTCCTTCCCTATCTTTTGTTCCTTCTCTCCCTTCCCTCTCTTTTTCCTTTCCCTTTTTTATTTCCTTCTCTCCTTTCTTGCTTCTCTTTCTTTCCTTCTTTCCCTCCCTGCTTCTCTCCTTCCTTCTTTCCCTTTTTCCCTCCTCTCGTTACTTCTTGACTGTCCCTTCCATTTAATATTGTATTTATCTCTTAGAAAGAAGGAAAGGAAGAAGGAAGGAAGGAGGGACAGGAAGGAAGGAAAAGAAAGGAGAGGCAGGAAGGGAGGGAGGGAGGAAGGAGGGGATGAAGAAAGGAGAGAAGGAAGAAAATGAGGAATGGGAAAGAAGGAGGAAAGGAAGGAGGGACAGGAAGGAAGGAAAAAAGGAGGGGGGGGGAAGAAGGGAAGGAAGGGGAAAAAGGAGGGACAGGTAGGGAGGGAGGAGAAGGAAGGTGGAAAGAAGGAGGGAAAGAAAGGAGGGGGATGAAGAAAGGAGGGAGGGAAAGTAATGAGGGGAAGGAAATGAAAGGGAAAGAAGGAGGAAAGGGAGGGAGGAAAAGAAGGAAATGAAGAAGGAAGGAGGGACAGGAAGGAAGGAAAAAGGGAGGGAGGGAAAGAAGGGAAGGAAGGAAAAAAGGAGGGACAGGAAGGGAGGAAGGAAGGAGGGAAAGAAAGGAGGGGGATGAAGAAAGGAGGGAGGGAAGGAAATGAAGGGGAAGGAAATGAAGAAAGGGAAAGGAGAAAGGAGGGAGGAAAAGAAAGAGAGGAAGAACGAAGGAGGGACAGGAAGGAAGAAAAAGGGGAGGAAGGGAGGAGAAGGAAGGAAGGAAGAAGGAAGGAGGGGAAGAAAGGAGGGAGGGAAGGAAATGAAGGGGAAGGAAATGAAGAAAGGGAAAGGAGGAAAAGGAGGGAGGAAAAGAAGGAAAGGAAGAAGGAAGGAGGGACAGGAAGGAAGGAAAAGGGGAGGGAGAGGGAGGAGAAGGAAGGAGGAGGAAGGAAGGAGGGGAAGAAAGGAGGGAGGGAAGGGAATGAAGCAAGGGAAAGAAGGAGGAAAGGGAGGGAGGAAAAGAAGGAAAGGAAGAAGGAAGGAGGGACAGGAAGGAAGGAAAAGGGGAGAGAGGGAGGAGAAGGAAGGAGGAGGAAGGAAGGAGGGGAAGAAAGGAGGGAGGGAAGGGAATGAAGCAAGGGAAAGAAGGAGGAAAGGGAGGGAGGAAAAGAAGGAAATGAAGAAGGAAGGAGGGACAGGAAGGAAGGAAAAAGGAGGGAGGGAGGGAAAGAAGGGAAGGAAGGAAAAAAGGAGGGACAGGAAGGGAGGAAGGAAGGAGGGAAAGAAAGGAGGGGGATGAAGAAAGGAGGGAGGGAAGGAAATGAAGGGGAAGGAAATGAAGAAAGGGAAAGGAGGAAAAGGAGGGAGGAAAAGAAGGAAAGGAAGAACGAAGGAGGGACAGAAAGGAAGGAAAAGGTGAGGGAGGAGAAGGAAGGAAGGAAGGAGGGCCAATGTCAAAGGGAAAGCTTGAAATCAGGGTGCGCATTAATTATCTTATTATAATACTATAATATTATTATATTATCTTATTCTATTATATTATTATTATTATTGTAAGTATATTCTATTAGATCACCTTAGTGCCGAGCCAAAGTCAAAGGGAAAGCTTGAAATCAGGGTGCACATTAGATTATCTTATTATAATACTACTATTATATTTTATATTACCTTATTCTATTATTATTATTATTATTATTATTATTATTCTTATATTATATTATATTATTATTGTAGGTATATTATATTAGATCACCTTAGTGCTGAGCCAAAGTCAAAGAGGAAGCTCAAAATCAGAGTACACATTAGATTATCTTATATTATTCTAATCTTATTATTACCTTATTCCATTATTACTATAATATTATTATTATTGTTGTTATATATACTAGATCATCTTAGCACTGAGCCAAAGCCAAAGGGGAAGCTCGAAATCAGGGTGTGCATTAGATTTTCATATTATTACATTAACTTACAATGTTATAATTATATTATTATATTATCTTATTGCATTATTACTATTATTATATTGTATTATTATATTAGATCACCTTAGTTCTGAGCCAAAGCCAAAGGGCAACCTCGAAATCAGGGTGTGCGTTGGAATTTCATATTATTAATTACCTTATTATAATATTATAATTATATTATATTATTCCATTATTTCTATAATATTATTATATTATAATTATTATATTATTATATTATAATTATAATAAGATAAGATAATAATATATTTATTTAATAATAATAAATAAATATATTATTTATATAAAATAAATATAATTAAATAAATAAATATAATTAAATATATATTATTATATTATAATATTAATAAGATAATATAATAATATATTTATTTAATAATAAATAAATAAATTATTATATTATCTTATTATAATTATATTACTCCACTATTTATATTATAGTATTGTTATTATATTATATTAGATCACCTTAATGCTGAGCCAAAACCAAAGGGGAAGCTCAAAATCAGGGTTTGCATTAGTATATTATTATTATTATTATGGTTATTATATCTCCTTAGTGCTGAGCCAAAGCCAAAGGGGAAGCTCAAAATCAGGATGCACATTAGATTTTCATATTATAATATTATCTTATTATAATTATATTATAATATTATCTTATTCCATTATTTCTATTATCTTATTGTTGTTATTATATTATATTATATTATATTATATTAGATCACCTTAGTGCTGAGCTAAAGCCAAAGGGGAAGCTCGAAATCAGGGTGTGCATTATATTATATTACTAGCTTGGGGACCCGGCGTTGCCCGGGTTATTAGAGAAAATGGGTATTGGTGGTTCTGTATGCCAAGTTTGGTCTTTATTGGTCTTTGGATAACGGCTGCATTATTTTCAGGAAGTGAGTGAAGGAGTGGGTCATGGGGGCTCTGTGTGCCAAATCTGGTGTTTATCAGTCATTGCATGAGGGTCGCAGTGGTTTCAGTAAGTGAGTGAAGGTACTGCAAGTCCCATCATCCAAAGTCCATCCCCTTTCAAACTGCAGCAGGATGTAGAGTGGATCATGGGGGCTCTGTGTGCCAAGTGTGGTCTTGATTGGTCATTAGAAGAGGGTTGCAGCAATCTTTGGAAGGGAGTGGAGGTACTTGAAGTCCCATCATCCATGGTCTGTCCTCCTCCAAACTGCACCAGGATGTAGAGTGGGTCATTGGAGCTCCATGTGCCAAGTTTAGTCTTGAGTAGTCATTGGCGAGGGTCTCAGTGGTCTCAGGAAGTGAGCAAAGGTACTGCAAGTCCCATTATCCATCTCCAAAGTTTTCCAAAGAACACCAGGACGTAAAGTGGGTCATGAGAGGTCTATGTGCCAAGTTTGGTCTCGATCCGTCATTGGATGAGGTTTGCAGAGGTCTCAGAATGTGAGTGAAGGTACTGGAAGTTCCATCATCCATGGTCCACCCTTCTCCAAAACTGCAGCAGGATGTAGAGTGGGTCATGGGGGCTCTGTGTGCCAAGTTTGGTCTTGATTGGTCATTAGATGAGTTTTGCAGCAGTCTTGGGTAGTGGAGGTACTTGAAGTCCCATCATCCATGGTCTGTCGTCCTCCAAACTGCTCCAGGATGTAGAGTGGGTCATTGAAGCTCCATGTGCCAAGTTTAGTCTTGATTGTCATTGGCGAGGGTCTCAGTGGTCTCAGGAAGTGAGTGAAGTGACTGCAAGTCCCATCATCCATTGTCAAATTCTTCCAAACCGCACCAGGATGTAGAGTGGGTCATGCTGGGTCTCTGTGTAAATTGTGGTCCTGATCCATCATTGTTGGCAGTTGTAATGGTCTTAGGAAGGGAGTGCAGGTATTGCAAGTCCCATCGTCCATGGTGCATCCTCCTTCAAACTGCACCTGGATGTAGAGTGCGTCATGGAGACTCAGTGTGCCAAGTTTGGTATTTGTTGGTAATTGGATGAGGGTTGCAGTGGTCTGAAGAACTGAGCAATGGTACTGCAAGTCCCATAATCCACGGTCCATCCCCGGCCAAACCACACCAGGACGTAAAGTGGGTCATGAGAGGTCTATGGGCGAAGTTTGGTCCTGATCAGTCATTGGATAAGGTTAACAGCGGTCTCAGAATGTGAGTGGTGGTACTGCAAGTCCCATCATCCATGGTTCATACTCCTCCAAACTGCAGTAGGATGTAGAGTGGGTGATGGGGGCTCTGTGTGCCTATTTCGGTCTGTATTGGTAGTGTTCTGACCCAGCCCCCGGCCTTTCCTTTCCTCTCTTTGTCATCTCGGAATGTTGGATTTGAGGCTGGCCAATCAGAGACCATATGCAAATTTCCTTCTGTCATGCCCCGTTTCTGCCATGAACCCTCTTCTCCACCAGGGGCTCCTATTGAAGCTGGCCAATCAGAGACCATATGCAAATAGCACCACAGCGGCAGCCAATCAGAACGCTGCCACATACACCGCCCTCCACAATTCCTCTGTCCGATACAAACACTCTTCTTTATTATATATATAGATAGATTATACTATAATATTATATCATATTATTATATTATTTCATTATTTCTATCATATTATTGTTGTTATTGTATTATATCAGATCACCTTAGTGCTGAGCCAAAGCCAAAGGAGAAGCTCGAAATCAGGGTGCGCATGATATTATATTATTATATCATATTATTATATTATTCCATTATTTCTATAATATTATTATATTATTGTTGTTACTGTATTATATTAGAACACCTCAGTGCTGAGCCAAAGCCAAAGGGGAAGCTCGAAATCAGGGTGCGCATTATATTATTATAATATAATACTATATATTATTATATTATTCCATTATTTCTATAATATTATTATATTACACTATAAATGTTATTATATTATATTATTTTAGATCACCTTATTATCTTAATATTATACTATTTTATTATCTTATTATAATATTCTATTATGTTCTATTCTATTAAATCACCTTAGTGCTGAGCACAAGACAAAGGGGAAGCTTGAAATCAGGGTGCGCATTGTTATTATTATAATATTATTATTGTTATTATATTATATTATATTATATTAGATCCAAAGCCAAAGGAGAAGCTCGAAATCAGGGTACGCGTTATATTATAATAATATTATATTATTATATTATTCCATTATTTCTATCATATTATTGCTGTTATTATATATTATATTATATTAGATCACCTTAGTGCTGAGCCAAAGCCAAAGGGGAACCTCGAAATCAGGGTGCGCATTATATTACATTATTATAATATTATATTATATCATATTATTATATTATTCCATTATTTCTATAATATTATTATATTACAATATAATTGTTATTATATTATATTATTTTAGATCACCTTATTATTATTATCTTATTGTAATACTAATTTATTATCTTATTATAATAATATTCTATTCCGTTCTATTCTATTGGGTCACTTTAGTGCTGAGCCCAAGCCAAAGGGGAAGCTCAAAATCAGGGTGCACATTATATTATATTATATTATTATATTATATTATATCATATTATTCCATTATTTCTATAATATTATAATGCAATATAATTTTTATTATATTATTTTAGATCTCCTTACTATATTATCTTATAATATTATAATACTATTTTATTATCTTATTATTATTATATTCTATTCTGTTCTACTCTATTGGATCACCTTAGTGCTGAGCCCAAGCCAAAGGGGAAGCTCGTCCCTTATCTAATTGCATTGACTCAATGCTCTGGGAAGCTTTCCTCCTTTCTGATGGTACCTCGCGGCATTCGGTGGATTCGCGGGCCTCGCGGCTGGCGCTCTCGCGTTCCCATTGCATGGCCTCCTTCTCGAGGGTCAGCCTGTCCAAAACAAACAAAGAATGATGTGATACATAGTGTACAGGAGTTGATTATAAATTGTATGATTTTAACTGTATTTGTGTTTAGATTGGCTGCAGTAATGCTAGAGCGGCCTAAGTCAGAGGAGTCCTCCATGTGCGTTGCCATGGAGACCGATGCAGGAGAGAGGGAAGTGGGAGGAGCTTAGAGAGGAGAGTTTGAAAAAACAACAGTTAAAAATCAGTTAGGGTTTAGGTTTAGAGGAGTGAGCAGTCAGGAGTTAGGTTCAGAGGAGTGAGGAGTTGGGAGAGAAGGAAAGGAAAGGTGGCAGAGTGACTTGTGAAGCAAAACTTTGAGGCTTTGAAAAGCTGGGTTTGGCTATTGGAAGTTTCTCAGGCTAGTGCAGCCGAATGGTGAAACATAGCCGGTATTCTTTTAGTCTAAGGAGAGGCTAAAGAATCGTTTACTTAGTATTGGATCTAGGGAAGATCAACTAAGGGAAACATCTCTGTATGGAAACTTTGTCTGAAACAAGTGCTCTACGTCAGAAAGATACTGTGTTACTTGAAAGAATGAACGGTTAAAGTTACAAGTATTATTCCAAGTGCAACAAGGAAAAGTTACGTCATGCAACCACACGCTGTGTACTTAATAAAATTGTTAACTTTTATTTGAAGATTGCCTCAGCTCCATCTATTCTGTGTCCAAAGTGCCATTTCTCACAATATTACAACTTACCTCACGTGGTGGCAGAAACGTAGGGAAAAGTAACCAAATAAATCTACATTCTTCTCTCCAGTCACGCTACAGTATATACAGTGTAATTACTACTAAGTTATTACTTTCTTAATAAAGGAGGAGGTGCAATTGAACAGCCTCCCTTCTAACTTGATGGTAAATTTGGTTCCTAATCGGCAACCTCCATTGCAAATCAGCTAAGTCTTTTTAAAATTGGGAACTGGGGTAAAATCTCCTGAATACTGGTTCTTTTCAAATTGGTGGCAACAATAAATCATCCCTCAGCTCCCCTGCTTCTTTTCAGTCACTATTATTATTCCCATTATTATTATTATTATTAATAGCAATAGTTCGACGACTTGCGACCTCCTCCCCGAAAGAGACCCCAATTCGCTCACCGCGCTGCCTCCTCTCGCAGTGCCCGGGTGGCGTCCTGTTCCGCTGCCAACTGCTCAGAAAGCCCTTCCTTCTCTTGACAGGCCTCCTCTTTTTCGCGCTCAGCAACATTCGCCCGCTGCAGGGCCGACGCCAGGTCTACGGAAGGGAAACCGAGTCAGACAAAAAACATACCCACACCATGCCCTAAGGAACTACCATTCTATACATCGATGCCGATTCAGAACGGGTCAAGAGAGGATCCAAGGAATGATAATTTTGACACCGACGGAATGGGAATTTGAAGGGTTGGGTGGGGGTCGTCAAGACTTAGGGCAGCATTTCTCAACCTGGGGGTCGGGACCCCTGGGGGGGTTGCGAGGGGGTGTCAGAGGGGTCACCAAAGACCATCAGAAAACATAGTATTTTCTTTTGGTCATGGGGGTTCTGTGTGCCAAGTTTGGCCCAATTCTATTGTTGGTGGAGTTCAGAAAACTCTTTGATTGTAGGTGAACTATACATCCCAGTAACTACAACTCCAAAAGGTCAATGTCTATTTTCCCCAAACCCCACCAGTGTTCACATTTGGGCATATGGAGTATTCGTGCCAAGTTTGGTCCTGATCTATCATTGTTTGAATCCACATTGATCTCTGGATGTAGGTGAACTAAAACTCCCAAACTCAAGGTCAATGCCCACCAAACCCTTCCAGTATTTTCTGTTGGTCACAGGAGTTCTGTGTGCCAAGTTTGGTTCAATTCCATAATTGGTGGAGTTCAGAATGCTCTTTGATTGTAGGTGAACTATAATTCCCAGCAACTACAACTCCCAAATGACAAAATCAATCACCCCCCCCAAGGTTGAGAACCAGTATTCAGATTTGAGCATATTGGGTATTTGTGCCCAGTTCGGTCCAGTAAATGAAAATAGACCCTGCATATCAGATATTTACATTACGATTCATAACAGGAGCAAAATTACAATTACAAGTAGCAACGAAAGTAATGTTATGGTTGGGGGGTCACTACAACATGTGGAACTGTACTAAGGGGTCGCGGCATTAGGAAGGTTGAGAACCACTGACTTAGGGTGTTTTTTTACCTCTTTCCAAGACGGCGTTGGCTTGCGTCAATTCACTGATGCACCCCAGTGCCTGCTCCACCTCCGCTGTCCTCTCCTCCAGCTTTTGGCAAACCTTTTGGCGGAAAATAAAGAGAATATATATATATATATATATATGAGAGAGACTATGATGTGGGTTCTTTTAAATAGCTGCAAATGGCTGCTGTATGTGAGCCACTCTGAGTCCCTCAACAAGGGAAAGAAGGCAGGATATAAATATAAATAAAATAAAAATATCATTGAGCCATGGCAATTTGAAATAGTAGTTATACTACTACTACTAGGAGCCCCCGGTGGCGCAGTGGGTTAAACCCCTGTGCTGGCAGGACTGAAGACCAACAGGTCGCAGGTTCGAATCTGGGGAGAGACGGATGAGCGCCCTCTATCAGCTCCAGCTCCTCATATGGGGACATGACAGAAGCCTCCCACATCAATTCATCCGGGTGTCCCCTGGGGCAACGTCCTTGCAGACGGCCAATTCTCTGACACCAGAAGCGAATTGCAGTTTCTCAAGTCGCTCCTGACACGACAAAAAACAACAACCTACTACTACTAGTGAGTCATGCAACCGTCCTGCATGTCCCATCGTGAGGACCAGTGCCTTTTAGAATATGTTTAGGGCATCTTTATTGTGTGCCAGGGTCCATTTTGCCCATTTGGTGCCTTTTAAGAGTTGTTTAGGGCCTTTCCAGTGTGAGCCAAGGCCCATTTTGCCCATCTGATGCCTCTAAGAAGTTGGTTAGGGCCTCTTTAGTGTGTGGCAGGGCCCATTTTGTCCATTTGGTGCCTTTTAGGAGTTGTTTTGGTCCTCTTTATTGTGTGCCATGGCCCATTTTGCTCATTTGGTGCCTCTTAGGAGTTGTTTAGGGCCTCTTTAGTGGGTGCCAGGGCCCATTCTGCGCCTTTTAGGAGTTGTTTAGGGCCTCTTTATTGTGTGCCAGGACCCATTTGGTCCCTTTTAGGAGTTGTTTAGGGTATCTTTATTGTGTGCCATGAACCATTTTGCTCATTTGGTGCCTTTTAGGAGTTGTTTAGGGCCTCTTTAGTGTGTGCCATGAACCATTTTGACCATTTGGTGCCTTTAAAACACTTCATTCATCTTCCTGCTGTCATTCAGCCCTCTTTTCCCTTCTTTATTTTTCCCCCTTTAGTGGGAAATATGTTGTTGTTGTTGTTCATTCGTTCAGTCGTCTCCGACTCTTCGTGACCTCATGGACCAGCCCACGCCAGAGCTCCCTGTCGGCCGTCACCATCCCCAGCTCCTTCAAGGTCAGTCCAGTCACTTCAAGGATGCCATCCATCCATCTTGCCCTTGGCCGGCCCCTCATCCTTTTGCCTTCCACTTTCCCCAGGCATCATTCCCTTCTCTAGGCTTTCCTGTCTCCTCATGATGTGGCCAAAGTACTTCAACTTTGTCTCTAGTCTCCTTCCCTCCAGTGAGCAGTCGGGCTTTATTTCCTGGAGGATGGACTGGTTGGATCTTCTCGCAGTCCAAGGCACTCTCAGCACTTTCCTCCAACACCACAGCTCAAAAGCATCGATCTTCCTTCGCTCAGCCTTCCCGAAGGTCCAGCTCTCACATCCGTAGGTGACTACAGGGAAGACCATGGCTTGGACTAGGCAATGGATCTTGGTTGCCAGTCTGATGTCTCTACTCTTTACTATTTTATCGAGACTGGACATTGCTCTCCTCCCAAGAAGTAAGCGTCTTCTGATTTCCTGGCCACAGTCTGCATCTTTGCCCCTAGAAATACAAAATCTGTCACGGCCTCCACATTTTCTCCCTCTATTTCCCAGTTGTCAATCATTCTTGTTGCCATAATCTTGGTTTTTTTGACGTTTAGCTGCAACCCGGCTTTTGCGCTTTCTTCTTTCACCTTGATTAGAAGGCTCCTCAGCTCCTCCTCGCTTTCGGCCATCAGAGTGGTGTCATCTGCATATCTGAGGTTGTTAATGTTTCTTCCAGCAATTTTCACCCCAGCTTTGCATTCATCCAGCCCCGCACATCCTCTCATGATACATTTTATTTTTGTAATATGGAGGTGCAGGTTTCCACAATGTCCACATGATGGCAGCAGAGAGGCGCCCTCCATGGCTCAAGGATGCACTTCCCTGCCTGGCCACTGGATGGCAGCAAAGGATCAGAGATCAGAATCTCAAGGCAAGGGCAAATATTCCTGTGTCCACAAGAGGGCGGCAAAGGGAATGGCCATGAGAGCGTAAGATAGATATATTATTATTATTTATTTACTGCATTTCTACCCCCACATACACACACACACACACACACAACAGACACACAGTCTCCTGTTATGAACAAGAGGGGTTCTATTGGTTTGCTCTTAAGTTGGATTCCTACGTAAATCGAAACAGGGACACTTCTAAAACATAACTACGGCTTAAAAAATAGGAGAACCCCATAAAAAGGAAGGACACCTGGAGGACATTGGAAATGCCTAAAGGTCACGGGAAAACAGCTAGACATCGCCCCACAGAGGTCTGCCATGGACACCGTGGGAACTCCCCGAGGGACCGAGAAAGTACTGCTTAGCCTTTCAAGTCTGGCGGTACAAAAACATCCCTACACTAGGACAACCACCAAGAATAGTCATTGGTAAATGACATTACAAACACTGGCTAAGTTAATAATAATAGAAAAGAAATATATAATTTTCCAATACTATCCATCCGGCTCACTTCTCGGTGTCGAGCGACCTCTTCCCGGGCGGCGGTCACTTCAGCAACCATTTTTTCCCTGTCCGAACGGCAGCGGGCGGCCATGTTTGTGAGCGTCCGGTACTGCGAAGGGAAGTAAGAAGACAACTTTGGACGAAAGATTCACCTCGGCTACAGGAAAGGGCAGATATCTATTATTATTATTATTATTATTATTATTATTATTATTACAAACACATCAAGATTAGTACACAACAAAAAAGATCACTCTGCTGGCTGTTGTACTGGATCACACATCTGATAATAATATTGATAATAATATTAATAATAATGGTGGAATTGAACCCTGGTGACCCTATCAAACTGTGAAAGTTGCTCTTATGGAAAAAAATCATAATGAATAATTATATAGTTAATGAATTAATTATCATATAATCCATAATTAATAAAATTAACTTGTTGATATGTGTTATTAACTATATGCATGCCATCCCAAAGCCATTCTTCATGCCAAGGGTCTAGTGTTGTTTATTATTATTATTATTATTACTATTATTATTATTATTATTATTATTATTATGTGAAACACAATAAGATGAGTCCACAGCAGACACTCTGCTGGTTATTGTATTGAATCATATGTCAGACCCTTCCCAAGCGTCTAGGACTGTGTGATGTATCGGAGAATGATGCGTGCAGATCCCAGTAAGGTGGCCTTCTGCAGCTGGCAGGTGGTAATTTTGTGAGTGCTGATTGTTTTTAAGTGCAGGCCAAGGTCTTGAGGCACTGCACCCAGCATGCCGATCACCACTAGGACCACCTTGATTGGCTTGTAGGCCTTCTCTGCTAATAAGGTCATTGAGCCACGGCAGTTCAATGGGGCCAAAAAAGCATTTGTTCTATGTAAGGAGAGGCCAGTAATAAATAAACAATTATTATTATTATTAAATTACTTACATCTTTCTGCATCTGTATCCAGCTGTCTCGCAGAGTTGTTGTGCGGCGGTCCATTTCTTCCATGTTCTCTTTGTTTTCCAGGAGAAGGCCAGCCTGTAGGAATATTATTATTATTATTGAATATAATCCCTTGTTCAGGTTGTTACTATGACTGTTCTGGATTATTTTCTTTTATACAGGTTATTATTATTATTATTTATACCCTGCTTTTCCTTTCCACAAATCAAGACTCAAATTTATATAATATAATGTATATACATATAACATTTATAATATTATAATGTAATACGATATAATACTACTAATAATGTTATTATATTTTTATATTACAATATAATGGTATAGTACAATATAGTACTATATAGAAAACTCCAAGCATCATGTCCCAAATGCACTTTACTAGAGTGGAACGCAGGGAGCATACAACCCCCCTGTTGCGCCAGCTACCGATCTGCTTCCGGGCTCAATTCAAGGTGCTGGCGTTGGCCTATAAAGCCTTAAAACGTTCCGGCCCAAGCTACCTATCCGACCGCATCTCTGCCTATGAACCCACCAGGACTTTGAGATCTTCCGGGGAGGCCCTGCTCTCGATCCTGCCTGCTTCTCAGGCACGGCTGGCGGGGACGAGAGATAGGGCCTTCTCGGTGGTGGCTCCTCGGCTGTGGAACGCCCTTCCCACGGACATTAGACTAGCACCATCTCTAATGGCATTCCGCAAAAAAGTGAAGACCTGGCTGTTTGAGCAGGCGTTCGAATAATTAGTGCAAAGAACATAGGTAACGAACATAGGAATGGAACAATGGATGACGAATCTGGATTATGTTTTTGATGATGAGACGATAGTGAATGGTTATTGTAGTAATTGTTTTATTAATTGTGTAATGTGTTAGGTTGTTAACTGTTTTTTACACTGTAGCATTGAATTTTTGCTGTTCTTATTTGTTGTGAACCGCTGTGAGTCGCCTTCGGGCTGAGAACAGCGGTATAGAAGTAAAGTAAATAAGTAAATATCTCCAAAACCTTATTCATTTCACCTGGTCATGCCCAGCATTTTTAAAATTTTTAATCATTACATTTGGCCCGGCCTTAGTTTTAAATGCGTCGTGGTGTTATTGCCTAATGTGTATTGTTATTGTTTTAATGCTTATTGTTTTGTTTTTATGAGTTTATTTATTGTTGTATTTGTTATGCTGTTGTTTTACTGATGTGTTGGGCCTCGGCCTCTTGTAAACCGCACTGAGTCCTTCGGGAGATGTTAGCGGGGTATAAATAAAGGTTTATTATAGTAATATATATTGCACTGATATTGTACTATGTTAATAATATAATATATTGTATTTACATATTACTTGCAAGCCGCTCTGAGTCCCCTTCGGGAAGGGCGGCATAGAAATGTCGTAAATAAATAAATAAATACAAGAAAAAAATACAAGAAATTTATAGAAGAAATTATAATCCGGAATAATAATAATAATAGCAATAATAATAATAATAACAAATATAAGAAAATATACTCTGGAGTAGTAGTAGGAATAGTAGTAATAATAATAATAATAATAATAGTAATAATAATAATAGCAATAATAATAATAGCAATAATAATAATAATAATAATAATAACCAGTATAAGAAAATATACTCTGGAGTAATAGTAGGAATAGTAGTAATAATAATAATAATAATAATAGCAATAATAATAATAATAGCAATAATAATAATAATAACCAGTATAAGAAAATATACTCTGGAGTAATAGTAGGAATAGTAATAATATTTTGCAACCACTGAACCACCTTGCCCACCTTGTTTCTGTCCGAATCTCACCTTGCATTCATTGGCTTCTTTCAGCAACGAGTGGAGGCGATTCTGCGTATCAAAATTCTGCATCAAACTCTCGATCCGCAATGCGGCATGACTCCTCACCGCTTCCAGCGCCAGCTCTGCCTACAAAGATAAAGGTCAGGCTTCACCTCAAAAGGACCTGCTTGTGGCGGGGAGTTCCGCAGGTCACCAGTAAACATTTTTTGGGTGGTTGGCAGAGTTTGGAAAGGTTTCCTCTTTTCTTTTCCATCCCAACTGGAGGAGAATTTGGGGAGGTCAAGGTCCAGAACTGGGGGTGAAGGGGCTTGGAAACAAAACTGCGCCCGGGGAGAAGTGAGCGAGGCGCTTCCTCACCGCTTCCTTGATTTGCAGGGCTTTCTCCATTTCCGACTTCATTTCGGCTTGTTTTTGGGAACTTCTTTGGAGTTTGCCTCGGCACTTCAGGAGGAGCTCGCCAAGTTGCTTTTGCTGCAGAAAAATGTTAAAATGCGACATCTTAATATTTATCATTTATTTATTTACTATATTTGTATGCCGCCTTTCACAGCCAATCGGCGACTCAATATGTATGGATCTATGTACACACATATACAAACATACATCTGTATGCATACCCTATTTTGTGTGTGTTGTGTGTGTATATATATATATATCCATATATAAAAATATGGACACAAACATCTGTATGTATAGCCAATTGTATGCATGTGTGTCTATATCTCCATATATAGAAATATAAATATAAACACACACAAATCTGTATGTATATCCAATTGTATGTCTGTCTGTATATATGTCTACATATATAGAAATATATAGACACACGCACATCTGTATGTATATCCACTTGTACGTCTCTCTGTGTGTATATATATATGTTTCTATATATAAAAATACACACACACACACACACATATTTGCCTGCAAGATTGTGTGTATTTGTGTGGGTGTGTGTATAGCCCTCCTTTCCTACCGCTTTGTGCTTTTCCTGCAAGGCAGAAGCAGATTGGACTGGATGGTCATTATTATTACCACAAAGGCTGGATGGCCATCTGTTGGGGGTACTTCAATTGTGTTTTTCCTGCATGGCAGAAGCAGGTTGCACTGGATGCCTCCTGAGGCTGTTCCTATTATTATTATTATTATTATTATTATTATTATTATTATTACAGAGGCTAGACAGTCTCTGTAATATAACAAAAACAATAATAGTAAAGGCTGGATGGCCATCTGTTGGTGATGCTTTGTTTGCGCTTTTCCTGCATGGCAGAAGCAGGTTGCACTGGATGCCTCCTGGGGTTGTTCCTATTATTATTATTATTATTATTATTATTATTATTATTATTATTATTATAGAGCCTAGACAGCTCCTGGGACTGCTCCTATATAATATTAATAATAGTAATAATAATAATAATAATAGTAAAGGCTGGATGGCCATCTGTTGGTCTTGCTTTGATTGTGCTTTTCCTGCATGGCAGAAGCAGGTTGCACTGGATGCCTCCTGGGGTTGTTCCTATTATTATTACAGAGCCTAGACAGGCCCTGGAGCTGCTCCTATTATTATTATTATTGTAAAGGCTGGAAGGCCATCTGTTGGGTGTGCTTTGGTGGTGTTTTTCCTGCGTGGCAGGAGGAGTGAAAATAGTGAAATAGGCCTTGTGGATGCTCACCTGCAACGCTAGAGATTTCCGGTCCTCCTGGACACGTAAGTAGGAGGCATCCACTGTGTCCAGCAGCTGCCCCGAATTCGACATCCACTCTTTCTGCAGAAGGAGGGAGAGAAAAAGGGCCATCAATCACTTTTCCCTGGAGAGGGCAAACCACAACTCCTAGGGTTCCACAGCATGATCACAACAGTTAAAGTGGCGTTGAAATTGCATTCAATCTACAGCATATATGTGTCCTGTATAAGAAATTACAGTCTGCAATAATAATACTAATAATAGCAATACTACGGCTACTATTACTACTACTATTATTATTAGTAACCTGTTCAAAACATTATAATCCAGAATAATATTACTACAGATGATAAACAATGATAGCAATAATGTAACCACAGTGGCACAGTGGGTTAAACCCTCGTGCCGGCAGGATGGTTGGAATTGGGTTTGAGTGGGTTGAGCTCCCTCTGTCAGCTCCAGCTCCCCATGCGGGGGACATGAGAGAAGCCTTCCGCTCCTGGCACGAAAAACAAAACAAAAACCCTGCCTCTCTTTGTGGCTTGAGACAATCAATCTATATAAATAAAAATGTAATGTTCATTTGTGGTATTCACAGAACTCAAAAACCACTGGGGCAATTGGCACCAAATTTGGATACGATACCCCTAACAACCCAATGTATGTTCTCCACTCAAAAAACCCCACGAAAACAAAAAGCATTTAACTCCCTCCCTCTCTCTCCTATCAACATCCAGACTGGGAGGTAGCTGCCTCTGCCACACTCCACTCCTTCTCTCCCTCACTCCCTTCCCTTCTTTCCCCCCTTTCTTTCCTTTTCTTCCTTCCTCTTCCTTTCCTTCCCCCCTCCTTCCTTCCTGTCCCTCGCTCCTTCCTTTCCCTCCTTCCCTTCCTTCCTGTCTCTTCTTCCTTTCCCTTTCTTCATTTCCTTCCCCTTAATTTCCTTCCCTCCCTCCTTCCTGCATCCCCCATTCCTTTCCCTCTTCCTTCCATCCTTTCCTTCCTATCCCTCTTTTCCTTTTCATCCTTCCCTTCGTTCTCTCCTCCCTTCCCTCCCTTAATTTTTCCTTCCTTCCATCTTCCTTTCCTTCTTTCTATGTAAGATATAAATACAATATTTTCTATATTGTTGTATAGATTACTATATAATATGTTACTGTTATATATTACTACATAATACAAATTAAATAGACTTACAGAATAGAGTTGGAAGGGACAGTCAAGAAGTAACGAGAGAAGGAGGGAAAGAGGAAAGGAATGTAGGCGGGAAAAGGGGAAAGAGAGAAGGAGGGAAGGAAAGAAGGAAGGAAAGAAAGAAAGGTAGAGAAGAAAGAAAGAAGAGAAGGAAATAAAAAAGTGAAAGGAAAAATACAGGGAAGGATGTAACCAAAGAGCAAAGAAAGGGAGGAAAGAAACAGGTCGAGATGGAAGAAAGAAGAAGATAAATAGGAAGGGAAAGAAAAAGAGAAAAGGAAGGAGAGAAAGAGAGAGGGAAGGTTGGCCACAGCAATGCGTGGCGGGTACAGCTAGTATATTAATATATATATATATATATATAAAATTAAAATATATGTAGGCTAAAAGTCAGGGATATTTCCTGATCCATCTCCCAGAGCTCTTGGAATTCATGGTCGGTCTCCCATCCAAGCGCCAACCAGGGTTGGCCCTGCTGACCGATCAAAACCAGACTGGATCTGGTGAATTTTCAATTGATGGACACTTTTCCTTATGTGTAAGATGTTACAAGCAAGTCTTGAAGTAACCAATGAAAAGGGCTCTGTAGTGGAATGTGTATCACGCACCATTTCGCCGACGGCGCTGGCCATCCTCTGGGACAGTTCCTGCTCGCTCTCCCAGTTGCGCCGAAGGGCCTTGTTCTGCCGCAGGAGCTCCTGGTTCACATCGCGATAGGCTCGCTCCTCCTGGGATAGTGGGAAAGAGGCCACACATTGAGCACAACAAAGCCCAGCGTCCTGCGGAAGGACTTGAGGGCACTGCGAGGGTTTTGCCCGGCGGTCACTCACCTCCGTGGGGTCAGAGAGGAGCGTCTGGCTTCCGGCGTCTCTCTGTTTGGAGGGCGCTGCGCCGCACGCCTGGCTGTCCCGGAAGGCCCCGATCTGGTGCGAAAGAGCCTCCAGGATGATGAGGGTGCTCTCCAGGCGGACCTCCAGCTCCGACCTCGAAAGGGCCCTCCACTGGTCCCGGGGGCAACTGGGCAGACAGAGGGAGACGGAGGGGGTTACAAGGACAGGTAGAGAGAGACAAATAAATAGATGGATGGATAGAGGGAGAGAGAGAGAGATAGATAAGAAACAGACAGATAGGGAGAGAGCGATAGGATAGATATAGATAGATAAGGAGATAGATGGATAGTATAGACCAGGGGTCCTCAAACGAAGGCCTGGGGGCCGGATATGGCCCTCCAAGGTCATTTACCCAGCCCTCGCTCAGGGTCAACCTAAGTCTGAAACTACTTGAAAACACACGACAACAATACTATCGCATCAGCCAAAAGTAGGTCCACATTTCCCATTGAAATGCTAACAAGTTTATTATTTATTTATTATTTATTTACAGTATTTATATTCCATCCTTCTCACCCTGCAGGGGACTCAGGGCGGATTACAACGTACATATACATGGCAAGCATTCAATGTCATAGACACATAACATATATCGACAGGCACTCAGAGGCTATTTAACATTCCAGCTTCATGAGGGTATTCTGGCCACCAGGGGAGCTGTCACTTCACCGTCCATTTGTGACACTAATGAAGTGCTTCCTCATTCTTTGCATACTTCCTGGAGATTTTTATGGCCTCATAAATCAGATTATATTTCTTAAAATTGTTATTCATTTTAATTATTGTATTGTTTTAAAGTGTTTTTTGCACTACAAATAAGATATGTGCAGTGTACCTAGGAATTCATTCATGGTTTTTTCAAATTCTAATCTGGCCCTTCAATAGTTTGAGGGACTGTGACCAGGCCCTCTGTTTAAAAAGTTTATGGACCCCTGATCTATGCTATCCATCTATCTATCTTTCTGTCTATGCTATCTCTTTCCCCCTATATGTCTGCCTCTTATCTCTCTCTCTCTTCCTATCTATCTATCTATCTATCTATCTATCTATCTATCTATCTATCTACTATCACCCTTCTCTCATCTCTCTTGCTCTATCTACTTATCTATGAATCTATGCTATCCATCCATCCATCCATCCATCCATCCATCCATCCATCTATCTATCTATCTATCAACTATCACCCTCCTCTCTCTTCTTTATCTCAATCTATCTATGCTATTCATCCATCTGTCTATCTAATCATCTATCTTTCTGTCTATGCTATCTCTTTCCCCGTATATGTCTGTCTGCCTAATATCTATCTTTCTCTCTATCTATCTATCTATTATCATCCTTCCTTCATCTCTCTTGCTCTCTTTATCTACCAATCTATCAGTGCTCTCTCCCTCTCCCTACTGTCTCTAACTATCTTTCTCTCTCTCTTCCTCTTTCTTTCTATCTATCTTTTTAGCTATCCTGTCTTTACCTTCCTATCTGTCTATCTACGATCACCCTTCTCTCTTGCTCTATCTGTCTTCTTATCTATGAATCTATGCTATCTATCAGCTATCACCCTCCCCTCCCTCTCTTCTTTATCTGAATCTATTTATGCTATTCATCCGTCTATCTATCCATCTATCTTTCTGTCTATGCTATCTCTTTCCCCCTATATGTCTGCCTCTTATCTCTCTCTCTCTTTCTATCTATCTATCTATCTATCTATCTATCTATCTACTATCACCCTTCTCTCATCTCTCTTGCTCTATCTACTTATCTATGAATCTATGCTATCCATCTATCTATCAATCAACTATCACCCTCCTCTCTCTTCTTTATCTCAATCTATCTATGCTATTCATCCATCTGTCTATCTAATCATCTATCTTTCTGTCTATGCTATCTCTTTCCCCCTATATGTCTGCCTGCCTAATATCTATCTTTCTATCTATCTATCTATCTATCTATCTATCTATCTATCTATCTATCTATCATCACCCTTCTCTCATCTCTCTTGCTCTATCTATCTATCTATCTATCTATCTATCTATCTATCATCACCCTTCTCTCATCTCTCTTGCCCTATCTATCTATCTATCTATCTACCTACCTACCTACCTTCTTATCTGTGAATCTTTATAAGGTATCTATCAATGCTGTCTCTCTCCCCCTACTGTCTCTCTTAACTTTCTTTCTCTCTCCTCCTCTATCTCTCTCTTCCTATCCCTCTTTTTAGCTACCCTGTCCTTATCTTCCTATCTATCTATCCACTATCACCCTTCTCTCATCTCTCTTGCTTGCTCTCTCTCTCTATCTCAGGGGTCCTCAAACCTTTTAAAGAGGGCCAGGTCACAGACCCTCAAACTGTTGGAGGGCCAGATTATAATTTGAAAAAAGCATGAATGAATTCCTATGCTCACGGCACATATCTTATTTGTAGTGCAAGAAACACTTAATACAATAATTAAAATGAAGAACAATTTTAACAAATATAAACTTATTAGTATTTCAATGGGAAGTGTGGGTCTGCTTTTGGCTGATGAGATAGGATTGTTGTTGTTGTTTGCTTTCAAGTCGTTTCAGACTTAGGTTGACCCTGAGCTGAGGGCCAGGTAAATGACCTTGGAGGGTCGTATCCGGCCTTCGGGCCTTAGTTTGAGGACCCCTGGCAGAGACAGAAAGTTAGATGGAAAGATAGACAGATAGATGGATGAATAGCATAGATTCAGATAAAGAAGAAAGAGAGGGGAGGGTGATAGCTGATAGATAGATAGATAGATAGATAGATAGATAGATAGATAGGAGATGGATGGATAGCATAGATAGATTCATAAATAGATAGAGAGAGCAAGAGAAACGAGAGAAGGGTGATAGTAGATAGATAGGAGAGTGATGGATGGATAACATAAATAGACTCGTAGATAGCTAAAAGGATTGATGATAAATAGAGAGAGCAAGAGCAAGAAAGAGAGAGAGATGAGAGAAGGGTGATAGTGGATAGATAGATAGGAAAATAGATAGTCAGACAGGAAGATAGCTAGAAAGATAGAGAGATCATACAGACAGAAGACAGATAGGAAGATAGATATAATCTTTTTTACGTGGTCTGCTCTTTTTAGAGAAATGTGGGACATTTAATATTGATAATATCAATAGACAAGTCGAACCAGTAAACAGGAAAGGAGCCCACGAAACCCCCAGAGACTCACTCACCGCCACAGAAGAGAGTCGGTCTCTGCCACGTTGTCTTTGGTGGCGGCCTTCTCCACAGGGGAGGTGTTCACCGCAACCCCAACGAGGGCAGGAGGGGAGGTCCAGGTGGTTACTGAGGCTACGCAAACCGGGGTGATGGCAGTCCCTACCGCCATATTCTGCCTGGAGACGGGAAGATTCGGGGGAGTGGTGCAATCTTTGGTTATATTCCAGTGCGTAGCCGGTCGAAAGTCGAGCGCGATCCCTTCCGTGGTGTCCAACAAGCTCAAGGGGGATGCCCATGCGCCGTGACACTCGCAACCGAGAGAGGCCGTAATGGGGTTGTCGCGAGGACAAGTGTGAGCACCAACACCGGAATCCGAAATGGACGGGGTCGACATACAAGACAATACAGATATTGCGGTGCCAGAGCACTCTCCTCGTGTTGGCAAAACAGAAGCACTCGCAACACTCTCCGTGCTATTCAGACCTTCGTCGGGAGAAAGAATGGTGCTGGGATTCTTGTCCTCCCCCAGGAAAGATGCCACTTCCTCCTTTATGGAGTTTTCACTAACCTTGGTTGTGACGGCAAATGCGTTGGCATTATTATCCTCTTTGGAAGTTCTGATCCCAATGGTGTTAGAGTCGTCGGGATTATTTCCCGCAGTGAAGCTGCCGATCCCAACAGCGGTCGACTCGTCGGGATTATTTCCCGCGGTGAGGCCGCCGATCCCGACAGCGGTCGACTCGTCGGGATTATTTCCCGCGGTGAAGCCGCCGATCCCGACAGCGGTTGACTCGTCAGGGTTATTTCCCGCGGTGAAGCTGCCGATCCCGACAGCGGTTGACTCGTCGGGATTATTTCCTGCGGTGAAGCTGCCGATCCCGACAGCGGTTGACTCGTCGGGATTATTTCCCGCGGTGAAGCTGCTGATCCCGACAGCGGTTGACTCATCAGGATTATTTCCCGCAGTGAAGCTGCCGATCCCGACAGCGGTCGACTCGTCAGGGTTATTTCCCGCGGTGAAGCTGCCGATCCCGACAGCGGTCGACTCGTCAGGGTTATTTCCCGCGGTGAAGCTGCCGATCCCGACAGCGGTCGACTCGTCGGGATTATTTCCCACTGTGAAGCTGCCGTTCCCGACAGCGGTCGACTCGTTGGGATTATTTCCCGCGGTGAAGCTGCCGATCCTGACAGCGGTCGACTCGTCGGGATTATTTCCTGCGGTGAAGCTGCCGATCCCAAAAGTGGTCGACATGTCGGGATTATTTCCCGCGGTGAAGCTGCCGATCCCAACAGTGGTCGACTCGTCAGGGTTATTTCCCGCAGTGCTGGACCCAAACCCTAAAGCGTTTGGAGAGGAGAGAGGAGTGCTGGTACACCGTTCTCGCTGGAAACCAGAAACTTTAGCTCCCGTGGCACAGTTCGCACCAAATTCTGAGATATTCGGGGAGTGCACCGTGGACGATATTGTCGTCCCTTCGACAGAAAGGAGAGTCGCAACAGCATCATTGGCTGACTGCATTTCAGGGTCGACTTCTGTGCAATCCGACAGCTGGATGTTGCTGGAGGTCAAAACAATGGGGATCTGTGTATTCGCAGGGCGGGATAGACTTCGGCGGAAGTTTGCTATGATCGGCGAATCAGGAAGGATCTCCTCTAGCCAATCCAATGGCTCTGTCCATAGAATGAGATCTAGATGACCTCCGGCTGCGGAAGGGTCAGCATCCTGCAGTCAGACATTTGGGAGGTTATAATACACATAGACATATCATACATACATACACTTTAGTTTTAATTAAAAACAACTTTGGAGACACCCTGCATAACAACAGCAACAACAACAACAACGTGTGCACACATACATATATAAAGCATTTAAGTGTTAATTAAAAGCAGCTTTGCGGACACCCTGTTTTCTTGATTTGCCCCTCAAGAACAGATAATAATAATAATAATAATAATAATAATAATAATACAATACACACATACATATCTTGTAAGAATTTCAGTTTTAATCAAGGGCAGCTTTGGGGACACCTTGTGCAACAACAATAATAATAATACACACTGTACAGGAGTTGATTATAAATTGTATGATTTTAACTGTATTTGTGTTTGGATTGGCTGCAGTAATGCTGGAGCGGCCTAAGTCAGAGGAGTCCTCCATGTGCGTTGCCATGGAGACCGATGCAGGAGAGAGGGAAGTGGGAGGAGCTTAGAGGGGAGAGTTTGAAAAAACGACAGTTAAAAATCAGTTAGGGTTTAGGTTTAGAGGAGTGAGCAGTCAGGAGTTAGGTTCAGAGGAGTGAGGAGTTAGGAGTTGGGAGAGAAGGAAAGGAAAGGTGGCGGAGTGACTTGTGAAGCAAAACTTTGAGGCTTTGAAAAAGCTGGGTTTGGCTATTGGAAGTTTCTCAGGCTAGTGCAGCCGAATGGTGAAACATAGCTGGTATTCTTTTAGTCTAAGGAGAGGCTAAAGAATAGTTTACTTAGTATTTGATCTAGGGAGGATCAACTAAGGGAAACATCCCTGTATGGAAACTTTGTCTGAAACAAGTGCTCTACGTCAGAAAGATACTGTGTTACTTGAAAGAATGAACGGTTAAAGTTACAAGTATTATTCCAAGTGCAACAAGGAAAAGTTACGTCATGCAACCACACGCTGTGTACTTAATAAAATTGTTAACTTTTATTTGAAGATTGCCTCAGCTCCGTCTATTCTGTGTACAAAGTGCAATTTCTCACAATATTACAACTTACCTCACGTGGTGGCAGAAACGTAGGGAAAAGTAACCAAATAAATCTACATTCTTCTCTCCAGTCACGCTACAGTATATACAGTGTAATCACTACTAAGTTATTGCTTTCTTAATGAAGGAGGAGGTTCAATTGAACAGCCTCCCTTCTAACCTGATGGTGAGTTTGGTTCCTAGTCGGCAACCTCCATTGCAAATCGGCCAGGTTTTTTTTAAATTGGGAACTGGGGTAGATTCTCCTGAATACTGGTTCTTTTCAAATTGGTGGCAACAATAAATCATCCCTCAGCTCCCCTGCTTCTTTTCACACACACACACACACACACACACACACACACACACACACACATATATTTGAAGTCTTTTAGTTCTAATTAAAAGCAACTTTGAGAACATCCTGTATATTAATAATAATAATGATAATAATAATAATACACAAACACATATATATACTTATAGCCTTTTAGTTTTAATTAAAAGCGATTTTGGGGACACCCTGTATAATAATAATAATAATAATAATAATAATAATAATAATAATACACAAACACACACAGACTTTTGGTTTTAATTAAAATCAGCTTTGGGAATACCCTGAATAATAATAACAACAACAACACACACACATATACTTATAGCCTTTTAGTTTTACTTAAAAGCAGCTTTAGGGACATCTCGTACAATCATCATCATCATCATCATAAGCAATCCACACATATATACTTATAGCCTTTTAGTTTTACTTAAAAGCAGCTTTGGGGACAGCTTGTACAATAATAATATTAATAATATTCAAACACACACATTTACATACAGTATGTGTTGAGATTAATTTCACAATTTCAGCGCTTTCCAGTAGCTTCTTCCTGCACAGTATTTTCAGTCAATTGCTCCCACAGCCTGCAGTCACTCGGGAACCTTTTACAGACACTTGAGCACATGCCCGGCCATTGTCAGTTTTACCATTGTCTTTCCCCTCCAATCAAGATGACACTACAAACTTACCACAAGTTATATCTTGTCTTAGCAGATAGGTTCTTTTAATTACCTATAGCCTTCAACGAACAACATCACAGCACAAGGAGAAATATACACTGTACATGACTTCCTTATATACAATTCTATACAATTACACATAGCAATCTCTGATTGGTTCCCAACTCATTAACTTAACTCAGACCCAGGATTACATCACTCACAATCACCTGGACTAGGCCAGAACACATTCCCCAAATGATTCCCTATATACAGTTAATGCATGACCCAGCATTTCCAATAGAAGCCTATTAGCAGTGCATGACTCAGCTATATTACATTACAATACATTGTAAAACCTGACAGTATGTATGTGTGTGTGTATGCCTTTTAGTTTTAATTAAAAGGAGCTTTGGGGACAGCTTGTACAATAATAATATTCAAACACACACATATATGTATGTATGTATGTGTGTGTGTGTGTGTGTGTATATATATATATATACACATGCCTTTTAGTTTTAATTAAAGGCAGCTTTGGAGACAGCTTGTACAATAATAGTAATATTCAAACACACACATGTATGTATGTATGTATGTATGTATGCATGTATGTGTATATATATATATATATATGCCTTTTGGTTTTAAATAAAAGCAGCTTTGGGGACATCTTGTACAATAATAATAATAATATTCAAACGCACAGATATACATACAGTATGCATGCACGTATGTATGTGTGCATATATGTGTATATATCTATAAGCCTTTTAGTTTCAGTTTATAATAATGATAACAGTGTGTGTATAAACATTGGCATACATAGCAGTTGAGTTTCCATTACAAGCAGCACAACTTTCCAACTTTTCTGGAATATTATTATTATTATTATTATTATTCTTGTTGTCCTCATGAGAAGGGGTGGACTACAATTCCCAGCCCTTGATTTGATTCATAATAATAATAATAATAATATTCCAGGAAAGTTGTGCTGCTTGTAATGGAAACTCAAGTGCTATGTATGCCAATGTATAGACACACACTATTATCATTCTTATTCTTATTCTTGCTGTCCTTATGAGAAGGGGTGGACTACAACTCCCAGCCCTTGATTTGATTCATAATCATACTAATAATAATGCACAGGAAACAATCCTTTGCCTGCCCCTTTCCTAGGAAGGCTGCCAAAAGAGGGAGAGGCCTTACCTGGAGCTGAGGGGAGTCAGCCATGCCTGCAGGAAGAGGGAAAGAGTTTGAATGAAACCGCCACGTGACGTCACGTCCGGCAGCGGTGGGGGGCGTGGCTAGCGGGTGACGTCACAGGCGGGAAGAGCAAGATGGCGGGAGAGGTAAACAAACCGGGCTGGGCCTGGGAGGCTTTGCCCATCTGCTCGTCTCGGGGCCAGATCGTGTCCGCCGTGAGGAGAAGCGCTTTCCTGGTGGTCTCAGGGCAGACCGGGAGCGGGAAGACCACCCAGCTCCCCAAGTACCTCTGGGAGGAAGGTGAGATGCTCCCTGGGCCTCTTTCTCCCACCTTCTGAGCCTTCTGCTCACCTCCAATGCTGAGCCTAGGGCTACTGCTCCTCCTCATGTCCTTTCACAGATGTTTCAGGGCTTTGAGCATATATTTTTCATTCATAATAATAATAACAGTTCTGGGTTTGAGCCTGCCACTTTTGGACTCTCGCTTGCTGGGGTGTTCCAGCAAGTGTCTTATAGAATCATAGAATCAAAGAGTTGGAAGAGACCTCATGGGCAATCATCCAGTCCAACCCCATTCTGCCAAGAAGCAGGAATATTGCATTCAAAGCACCCCTGACAGATGGCCATCCAGCCTCTGTTTAAAAGCCTCCAAAGAAGGAGCCTCCACCACACTCCGGGGCAGAGAGTTCCACTGCTGAACGGCTCTCACAGTCAGGAAGTTCTTCCTCATGTTCAGATGGAATCTCCTCTCCTGTAGTTTGAAGCCATTGTTCCGCGTCCTAGTCTCCATGGAAGCAGAAAACAAGCTTGCTCCCTCCTCCCTGTGACTTCCTCTCACATATTTATACATGGCTATCATATCCCCTCTCAGCCTTCTCTTCTTCAGGCTAAACATGCCCAGCTCCTTAAGCCACTCTTCATAGGACTTGTTCTCCAGACCCTTGATCATTTTAGTCGCTCTCCACTGAACACATTCCAGCTTGTCAATATCTCTTTTGAATTGTGGTGCCCAGAATTGGACACAATATTCCAGGTGTGTGTGTGTGTGTGTGTGTGTGTATATATGCCTTTTGGCAGGAAAAATGAAATGCAAAGATACAGAATGGCTGATGCCTGGCTTGAAAGCAGTATGTGGGAAAAGGGTCTTGGAGTCCTCGTGGACAACAAGTTAAACATGAGCCAACAACGTGATGTGGTGGCAAAAAAAAGCCAATGGGATTTTGCCCTGCATCAATAGGAGCATAGTGTCTATATCTAGGGAAGTCATGCTCCCCCTCTATTCTGCTTTGGTTAGACCACTTTACCTGGAATATTGTGTCCAATTCTGGGCACCACAATTGAAGAGAGATATTGACAAGCTGGAATGTGTCCAGAGGAGGGCGACTAAAATGATCAAGGGTCTGGAGAACAAGCCCTATGAGGAGCGGCTTAAGGAGCTGGGCATGTTTAGCCTGAAGAAGAGAAGGCTGAGAGGGGATATGATAGCCTTGTATAAATATGTTAGAAACTACTTATAGAATCAAAGAGTTGGAAGAGACCTCATGGGCCATCCAGTCCAAGCCTCTGCCAAGAAGCAGGAATATTGCATTCAAATCACCCCTGACAGATGGCCATCCAGCCTCTGTTTAAAAGCTTCCAAAGAAGGAGCCTCCACCACACTCCTGGGCAGAGAGTTCCACTGCTGAACGGCCCCAGCTTCTGCCAACCTAGCAGTTTGAAAACATGCAAATGTGAGTAGTTCAGTAGGTACCGTTCCAGCAAGAAGGTAACGGCGCTCCATGCAGTCATGCTGGTCACATGACCGTGCAGGTGTCTATGGACAACGCTGTTTTTTTGGCTTAGAAATGAGATGAGCCACCACCACCCCGAGTTGGACATAACTGGACTTAATGAAAGGGGAAACCTTTCCCTTTTACCTTTACCTTAATATAATATTATATTATTATTATTGTTGTTGTTGTTGTTATATCTATATCACAGCACAAATGCACATTAGGTCCAAGCGTCTGGGATTTGTCTCTGAATAACGGGCTCTTCCAATATAATATGCCCAGCTCCTTAAGCCGCTCCTCATAGGGCTTGTTCTCCAGACCCTTGATCATTTGAGTCTCCCTCCTCTGGACACATTCCAGCTTGTCAATATCTCTCTTGAATTGTGGTGCCCAGAATTGGACACAATATTCCAGGTAAAGTGGTCTCACCAAAGAGGAATAGAGCATGGGGAGCATGACTTCCCTAGATCTAGACACTCGGCTCCTATTGAGGCCCCGGGAGCAGCTCACCTTCTTCCAAGAGGTATCACAATATCACAAAGGACTACCATCTCACCTGCCTCATAGGAAACCTGCTACAAAACAGGAGCTTCTTTGTTGCCACAGAGAGCCTCATCTATGCTGATGATCGTGCCAGCACTGCTCAAGCAGGGAGCTTTGAGATGGAACTCTCTGCCCCAGAGTGTGATGGAGGCTCCTTCTTTGAAAGCTTTTAAGCAGAGGCTGGATGGCCATCTGTCAAGGGTGATTTGACAGTTCTGGGTTTGAGCCTGCCACTTTTGGACTCTCACTTGCTGGGGTGTTCCAGCAAGTGTCTTAGAAAACTATTTCTTGATTTATTTCTTGATTTCTTTATTTTATTTATTTACTTTGCTTGTATACCGCAGTTTCTCAGCCCGTAGGTGACTCAACGCAGTTCACAACAAGAGCAAAAAGTCAATCCAACAACATACAAAATTTAAAAACCATTAACAACATAATATACATGGTAATAACACATCAATACCAACACATTAACAAATCGTGATCCAATTCGTCATCCATAATTCCGTTCCTATATTCATCGTGTACATTGCACTGTTTATCCGAACGCCTGTTCAAACAGCCAGGTTTTTAGTTTTCTTCGAAACACCATTAACGAAGGGGCTGATCTAACGTCCATGGGAAGGGTGTTCCACAGCCGAGGGGCCACCACAGAGAAGGCCCTGTCCCTCGTCCCCGCCAGCTGTGCTTGTGACGCAGGCGGGATCGAGAGCAGGGCCTCCCCAGAAGATCTTAGAGTCCTGGTGGGTTCATAGGCAGAGATACGTTCGGATAGGTAGCTTGGGCCAGAACCGTTTAGGGCTTTATAGGCCAACGCCAGCACTTTGAATTGAGCCCGGTAGCAAATCGGCAGCCAGTGGAGCTGGTGCAGCAGAGGAGTTGTATGCTCCCTGCGCTTCACTCCTGTTAATATCATGGCTGCTGATTTATGTCGTTGACGTGCTGGCTGATAACCCAACAAGGGATGGGCTGGAGATGTCAATGTATGGGCCTTTTCTGTGGTGGCCCCCTGACTCTGGAACACCCTCCCCAAAGATCTTAGACAGGCCCCTACATTGGCAGTCTTTAGAAAGAATGTGAAGACCTGGCTGTTCCGATGTGCCTTCCCCGAATAGGAAATCTCCAATACCAAGTCCCAGAAGCACTTTATTAGAACTAAGATTTGCCGCACACTGCACAATGCACTTGCCCTATAATCCTTATATACCACCTGTCACATCAGCACTTTTAATCCTGTACCCATTACTCTGGCCCGGCCCAGTTTTATTGTGTCTTAGTGTATTGTTTATTGCTTGTTGTTTATATTGCTTTAATTGTTTTTAATTTGCTTTAGGTTTTGTATTGTTATGTTGTGTATTGAGGCCTTGGCCTTTGTAAGCTGCATAGAGTCCTTCGGGAGATGCTAGCGGGGTACAAATAAAGAATAATAATAATAATAATAATAATAATAATAATAATAATAATAATAATAATAACAAAACACAGAATTTGCAAACTTGGTAGTTGATTAGATGTCCTTTGACCAGTATCTGGCCTCTTGGAGTGCCTCTGGTGTTGCTGCAAGAAGGTCCTCCATTGTGCATCATGTGGCAGGGCTCAGGTTGCATTGCAGCAGGTGGTCAGTGGTTTGTTCTTCTCCGCACTCGCATGCCGAGGATTCCACCCTGTAGCCCCATTTCTTAAGGTTGGCTCTGCACCTCGTGGTGCCAGAGCGCAGTCTGTTCAGCGCCTTCCAAGTTGCCCAGTCTTCTGAGTGCCCAGGGTGGAGTCAGATTAGAGAGATGGGCGAAAACTAACAAAATGAAGTTCAACAGTGACAAATGCAAGATACTCCGCTTTGGCAGGAAAAACGAAATGCAAAGATACAGAATGGGGGACAATGCCTGGCTCGAGAGCAGTACGTGTGAAAAAGATCTTGGAGTCCTCGTGGACAACAAGTTAAACATGAGCCAACAATGTGATGTGGCGGCAAAAAAAGCCAATGGGATTTTGGCCTGCATCAATAGGAGCATAGTGTCTAGATCTAGGGAAGTAATGCTACCCCTCTATTCTGCTTTGGTTAGACCACATCTGGAATATTGTGTCCAATTCTGGGCACCACAATTCAAGAGAGATATTGACAAGCTGGAATGTGTCCAGAGGAGGGCAACTAAAATGATAAAAGGTCTGGAGAACAAGCCCTATGAGGAGCGGCTTAAGGAGCTGGGCATGTTTAGCCTGAAGAAGAGAAGGCTGAGAGGGGATATGATAGGCATGTATAAATATGATAGAAACAAAGAGTTGGAAGAGACCTCATGGGCCATCCAGTCCAACCCCATTCTGCCAAGAAGCAGGAAAATTGCATTCAAAGCACCCCCGACAGATGGCCATCCAGCCTCTGTTTAAAAGCCTCCAAAGAAGGAGCCTCCACCACACTCCAGGGCAGAGAGTTCCACTGCTGAACGGCTCTCACAGTCAGGAAGTTCTTCCTAATGTTCAGATGGAATCTCCTTTCTTGTAGTTTGAAGCCATTGTTCCACGTCCTAGTCTGCAAGGAAGCAGAAAACAAGCTTGCTCCCTCCTCCCTGTGGCTTCCTCTCACATATTTATACATGGCTATCATATCTCCTCTCAGCCTTCTCTTCTTCAGGCTAAACATGCCCAGCTCCTTAAGCCGCTCCTCATAGGGCTTGTTCTCCAGACCCTTGATCATTTTAGACGCCCTCCTCTGGACACATTCCAGCTTGTCAATATCTCTTTTGAATTGTGGTGCCCAGAGCTGGAGAACAAGCCCTATGAGGAGCGGCTTAAGGAGCTGGGCATATTATATTGGAAGAACCCGTTATTCAGAGACAAATCCCAGACGCTTGGACCTAATGTGCATGTGTGCTGTGATGTAGATATAACAACAACAACAATAATAATATAATATTATATTAAGGTAAAGGTAAAAGGGAAAGGTTTCCCCTTACATTAAGTCCAGTTGTGTCTGACTCTAGGGTGTGGTGCTCATCTCCATTTCTAAGCCAAAGAGCCGGCATTGTCCGTAGACACCTCCAAGGTCATGTGGCCAGCATGACTGCATGGAGTGCCATTACCTTCCTGCCGCAGCGGTACCTATCTACAAACTACAAGGGAGGAGATTCCATCTGAACATGAGGAAGAACTTCCTGACTGACAGCCATTCAGCAGTGGAATTCTCTGCCCCGGAGTGTGGTGGAGGCTCCTTCTTTGGAAGCCTTTAAACAGAGGCTGGATGGCCATCTGTCAGGGGTGATTTGAATGCAATATTCCTGCTTCTTGGCAGAATGGGGTTGGACTGGATGGCCCATGAGGTCTCTTCCAACTCTTTGATTCTATGATAATAATATAATAAATATAATAATATAATATAAATATAGTAATAATAAATGCTTGAGGGTCATTATTATTAATAGGAATGGCCTTTTACATGTGCCCAGATATAAATATAATACTAGTAAATATAATTATAGAATATAATATTACATGGAATATTACATATAATAATAACTTTTCCAACTCTGTTATGCTGTGTTTCTTTGTTCTGTACTCTCCTCTCTCTCCAAAGCTGATGGCGCTCTTTGTGTTGCTTCTCGCAGGCCTGGCGAAGCATGGTGCGATTGCCGTCACGCAGCCGCGGCGCATGGCGGCCATATCTGTGGCGCAGAGGGTGGCGGAGGAGATGGGCTGCCCTCTGGGAAGCCTCGTGGGGTACCATGTCCGATTCGACGAGTGCGTCTCCGAGGTAGAAACTGGAACGTCTTGGGAGACATTACTGATTTGATGAAAACATCAGACATTTTTTATTTCTGTAGTCGATTTCTACGCCACAAAAACATCAAATTGACAGAAAAAGTGGTTTAATACTCATTAACTTTATGTAGTAATTACTATATTTACGTAGGGTTCTCTTTTCACCCACCCTGGGCATTGTTCGGTGTGGAAGACAGCCTGCGTTGGATAATACAGAAGGTTGGATGAGCAAAGGTTGGATAAGCAAGACTCTGCTGTATTTGCCTCTAAATAACAACAATAACAATAAATAAGAATAAGAATAAATAATAATAATTATAAATATAATAACAATATATAAGAATAAATAACAACAATAACAATAAATAAGAATAAGAATAAATAATAATAATTATAAATATAATAACAATAAATAAGAATAAATAACAACAATAACAATAAATAAGAATAAGAATAAATAATAATTATTATAAATATAATAAGAATAAGTAAGAATAAATAACAACAATAACAATAAATAATATCAATGAATAATAATAACAATAAATAAGCTGCTGAACTTGCTGACCAAAAGGTTAGTTGTTCGAATCTGGGGAGAGGCTGAGCTCCCACTGTTAGCCCCAGCTTCTGCCAACCTAGCAGTTTGAAAACATGCAAATGTGAGTAGATCAATAGGTACCGCTTCTGCGGGAAGGTAACAGCGCTCTATGCAGTCATGCTGGCCACATGACTGTGGAGGTGCCTAAGGACGAAGCCGTCTCTTCAGCTTAGACATGGAAATGAGCACCACCACCCCCGAATCGGACACGACTGTACTTAATATAAAGGGGAAACCTTTTCCTTTTTAACCAGATGGTTATTTTTTTCCTCCAAACTGTAGGAAACATCCATCAAGTACATGACGGACGGCTGTTTGCTGAGACAGATCTTGGCAGATCCCGAATTGAGCAAATACAGTGTTGTGATCCTGGATGAAGCTCACGAGAGGAGCCTCAGTACCGTAAGTGCTGGAAATTAAACCCAGAGGCTCAAATTGCTCTCGGGTCTTCATCAGACAATGTGTTATTAATATCAGTCTTTGTTTTATCTGCTCTGAGAACAAAAAAACATTCTCGGGTGGTATAATATAATAATATAATATAATGTAAAATAATATAGTGACATAATGTAATATAATATATTGTATATACATTTACTATTATAATGTAATGCAATATAACAATAACAATAATAATATGACATAATTATAAATATATAGTACATGTAATATTACTAATAATGCTATAATACAATATAGTAATATTTAGTACTGATAGAATATATTGTATGTATATATATCCTGTAAGCTGCTCTGAATCCCCTTCGGGATGAGAAGAGAGGCATATAAATGTCATAAATAAATAAATAAGGAGAAGACGATATTTGAGAGAAGGCTGAGAGGAGACTTGATTGCCATGCATAAATATGTGAAAGGGTGTCCTAAGGAAGAGGGAGCAGGCTTATTTTGAGACTGGGACTCAGAACCATGGGTTCAAATTGCAAACAAGGATATTCTATTGAACATTGGGAATAATTTCTTAGGGTTGTTCAACAGTGGAACTCTCTGCCTCGGGGTGTGGTGGAAGCGCCTTCCCTGGAAACTTTTAAACAGAAGCTGGGTGGCAATCTGTTAGGGGTGCTTTGAGTGTGCTTTTCCTGCATGGCAGTGGATTCCTTGCCTAGTTTCCAACAGACCTCTCAACCTCTGAGAGTGCCTGCCATAGATGTGGGTGAAACATCAGGAGAGAATGCTTCTGGAACATGGCCAGGCAGCCTGGAAAACTCATAGCAACCCAATCATCGTTGTTGTTATTATTATTATTATGTAGACTCTGGATGACAGGGATACTTTGATTGTGTTTTTCCTGCTTGACGGGATTGGACTCGATGGCCCATGTGGTCCCTTCCAACTGCATTATTATTATTATTATTATTATTATTATTATTATTATTATTATTATCATGGCTGGATGGCCATCTGTTGGGAGTACTTTGATGATAATAATAATAATAATAATAATAATAATAATAATAATAATAGAGTTGGAAGGGACCATATGAGCCATCGAGTCCAATCCCCTCGTCATGCAGAAAAAGCACCATCAAAGCACTCCTGACAGATGGCCATCCAGCAACAACATCAACAACAGCAATAATAGAGTTGGAAGGGATCACATGGGTCATTGAGTCCAATCCCCTTGCCATGCAGGAAAAGCCATTATTATTATTATTATTGTCATGGCTACATGGCCATCTGTTGGGAGTGCTTTGATGGTGCTTTTCCTGCATGCAAGGGGATCGGACTCGATGACCCATGTGGTCCCATCCAACTCTATTATTATTATTATTATTATTATTATTATTATTATCATGGCTGGATGGCCATCTGTCAGGAGTGCTTTGATGGTGCTTTTCCTGCATGGTGAGGGGATTGGACTCGATGGCTCATATGGTCCCTTCCAACTCTTATTATCATTATTATTATTATGACTGAATGGCCATTTATTGGGAGTGCTTTGATGGTGCTTTTCCCCATCTGGCGAGGGGATTGGACTCAATGACCCATGTTGTCCCTTCCAACTCTATTATTATTATTATTATTATTATTATTATTATTATGGCTGGATGGCCATCTGTCGGGAGTGCTTTGATGGTGCTTTTCCTGCATGGCGAGGGGATTGGACTCGATGGCCCATGAGATCCCTTCCAACTCTATTATTATTATCATCATCATCATCATCATCATGGCTGGATGGCCATCTGTTGGGAGTGCTTTGATGGTGCTTTTCCTGCATGGCAAGAAGTTGGACTAGATGGCCAGCATGGTCTCTTCCAACTCTATGATTGTGTCTTTCCCTGCCAGGATATCCTCTTTGGCTTACTGAAGCAGATGCTCCACAAGAAGAAGAAGAAGAAGCAGCCCAAAAGAAAGAAACCCTTGAAAGTGGTGGTGATGTCGGCCACGCTGGACACGGACAAATTCTCCGCGTTCTTCGACGGCTGCCCAGTCATGGATATCCCAGGGCGAAACTATCCCATCAAGGAGGTTTTCTGTGGGGCCGTGGGGCCCAAGGATGCCGAGAGTTCTGCCTATGTGACAGAGGTGTGCCTCCTTCTTGATATTTTGGTGGGGAGGGGTGGCCTCAAGCCTGCCGAAATCCTCAAAGGCGTATAATAGAACTATTTCCATGGATTTCGATATTGTGGCCATTAAAACAATGATCAGGACAAGTACAAAACTGTTAAAAATCATTATTTATTATTTATTTATTTACGACATTTATGTGCCGCCCTTCTCACCCCGAAGGGGACTCAGAGCAGCTTACAAGATATATATACATACTATACATTATATTATTAGCATAGTACAATATCAGTATTAAATATTACTATATTGTACTATACTTGTCGTGACCCAGAGCCCAAAGATTGTCCAACGCAGCTAGTAAGGGGTTAACAGTCTTTAATAGGTCTTTAACAAGGCTAATAGCACTTAAACTGCAGTACTGATTAGCAACACAAAAGCCTTCATTTTATCAGCAGTAGCTGTCGCTAGATTGACTATCATCACTTACACCTGGATCATTATCTTCAGCTGCTGGCTCATTACTTCGCCAGAGCTGCCAGCGTTGGTCTTGTCCAGAATCCTCCCAAGAAGTACCTGTCTGCCATGTATCATGAAATCCCTCAAATTCATTGCTAGACGTGGGCTGTGTACATATGTCCTGAATTTCCCTAACCCGAGTCCAATCCAACTCCTCTTCCATTTCCCCATCACTGGATCCCTGTTCATCCGAACTGTAATTATCGGCTATGTCTTTAAGCCGTTTGCTCATTAACTCCTCATCACTGTCAGTCTCACTCGCAAAGCGTTTTACTCCCCTGTGATCCACTACTTCTATGTCTTTGGGTCCAAACCCTGCAAAGTCATCAGAATCACTGGGTGCCATAAAAACATCCCTAATGTGTTCCAGCTGACGCTGCTCCTCCTCCAACTGTGCATCACTGCTTCTCCTCCTTCTCCTAATAGTAGCTTCACTACCAGGACGCTGAGTTACAACAATACCATTATATTGTAGTTGTTGTTGTTCATTCGTTCAGTCGTCTCCGACTCTTCGTGACCTCATGGGCCAGCCCACGCCAGAGCTCCCTGTCGGCCGTATTATCACATGTAATATGAATATATAATTATAATATATTATAATATATTATTATTATTATTTTATTTTATTATATTATTATTAGTAGTAGTATTGTATTGTATTGCATTACATTGTAATATAAATATATGTATATACAATATATTATATTACATATATATATATATTATGTAATGCACACATAAATACATATACATATCTATATATATGAATGATTAAATATTCCTGATCATGCAGTTGAATTGCAGCTCCTATCGGCATTACACTATGTAACACTATAGTTTTTGTTCCTGGGTTATCAATGTTATTTCCTAATTGGTTCTATCATCAAAACAAGGGAAAGGTTTATTAAACTGCCCAAACTTTGTTTTTATGGGAGGGACATCCTACTAGAGCACATTTGGCTCTAGTTTTTCATCGAGTCTCAACCAATTCAACATGGTATTGATAGGTATTATTATTATTATTAGTCATAATAATAATAATACCTATCAATACTATGTTGAATTAGTAATAATAATAATAATACCTATCAATTGAATTGGTTGAGACTCAATGAAAAACCAGAGCCAAATTATTATTATTATTATTATTAATATTAGTAATAATAATAATAATAATGATAATAATAGTTTTGTGCTAATGCTTTTATGTCAAGTCACTTTGAGTCTCCATTGGGATGTATATTATATTATATTATATTATATTATATTATATTATATTATATTATATTATATTAATAAAAATGTAATGTTTGTTTCTGGGATTAACATAACTCAAAAACCACTGGACAAATTGACACCAAATTTGGGCCCACGACACATATCACGCCAACATGAGACCGAAAAGGAAAATCCCTTCCAGCATTTCTCTGTGAAAGAGGATCTCGCTCGAGCCTCCTCCTAATCCCATCATTGTTGCTTGTTTCAGACTATCAGAGTGACCTTGGACATCCATTTGAATGGCGCAGCGGGAGATATTCTGCTTTTTCTGACCGGTGAGCATTTTCTCCTGCATCTAAGTATGCAAACACTCTCTTTGGTGGTGAAATTCAGTTGACATCAGAGGAAACCCATTTATTTAGGTTATGGGTTTGAGTCTGCCACTTTTCGACTCTGGCTTGCTGAGGTGTTCCTGCGAGTGTCTCTGTAGATCTTAGAAAACTATTTATTGATTTAAGGTGTTGGTGTTGTGGCTGATATTGGAACAGAGGATGGGCCGGAGATGTCTCTGCCTTGGTCCTTTCATTATTGGCTGCTCCTTCCCGGCGGATGTCAAGTGGTGCAATACCAGCTAAGCAGTGTAATTTCTCCAGTGGTGTAGGGCGCAGACACCCCGTGATAATGCGACATGTCTCATTATGAGCCACATCCACTGTTTTAACGTGGTGTGATGTGTTCCACACTGGGCATGCGTATTCAGCAGCAAAGTAGCAAAGCGCAAGGGCAGGAGTCTTCACTTTGTCCGGTTGTGATCTCCAGGTTATCCCAGTCCCCTTTCATATGATGTTGTTTCTAGCACCCACTTTTTGCTTGATATTCAAGCAGTGCTTCTTGTAAGTCAGCGTAAGGTCCAGAGTGACTCCTGGTACTTTGGTGTGCTGCAATGCTCCAGTGGGATTCCTTCCCAGGTCATCCTCAGAGCTCAGGATACTTGTCTGTTCTGAAGGTGAAAAGCAGACCTCTGCATTTTTGATGGATTAGGAATCAGCTGGTTTTCCCTGCAATAGGTAGTAAGAGCACCTAAAGTTTCAGAGAACTTCTGTTCAACCATTTCAAAGCTCCCTACATGAGCAGTGATGGCATGATCGTCAGCATAGATAGTTTCTTCAGAGCTCGATATGCTTGTCTGTTCTTAAGATGAAAAGCACATGTCTGTGTTTTAGATGGATTAGGAATCAGCTGGTTTCCCCTGTAATAGGCAGTAAGAGCACCTAAAGCTTGGGAGAGCTTCTCTTCAACCATTTCAAAGCTCCCAGCTTGGGTGGTGATGGCACGATCGTCAGCATAGATTGTTTCCTTGGAGCTCGAGATGCTTAGTTTGCCGTAAAGCATGTCAACAAGACGGTATTCATAGCAACATTGCAAAATATTTTTGATACAGAATGGCCTGCTATCATTTCACAATCCATCACAACACCTCTGGGGTGATGCGTAACCGTGGCAGATGAGAATCAAACAGCGCTGAGTATCTCTTTTGTCTTCACTTCAGGCCAGTCGGAGATCGAACGGACGTGCGAGTTGCTTTTCCAGAAAGCGGAGACGATTGATTACCGTTTTGATGTGAGGGAGAGTACCGTGGAAGGCTTGCTCATCCTCCCCTTGTATGGCTCGATGCCAACGGGTGAGCACGTTGCTTCCCAGACTCCCTTGATTTCCTTCCTGCCTTGTAGCTTTCCTTCAGCTTGGCCTCCTCTGGACTGCTGGGTGGAAACAACATCTATCATCCCCTGCCGATGGGAATTATAGTCTGTAGGTCTCACCACAGCACCAAAAGTTGCAGAGGTTTGCTGTCCAGCAATATGTGGTTTGACCCATGTATTATATTTTAATAATGATCTTAAATTAATTTTAAGTGTTGTTTATATAGGCTGGTTGTGTGTTTCCCAGAAGCATTCTCTCCTGACGTTTCGCCTGCATCTATGGCAGGCATCCTCAGAGGACCTCACAGTCTCTGAGGATGCCTGCCATAGATGCAGGCGAAACATCAGGAGAGAATGTTTCTGGAATATGGCCAGACAGCCCGGAAAACTTACAGCAACCCATTCAATGCTAATCAAGGTGGCCGACTGAAACATTCACACCTAGATCCAACAGACAAGAGTTCTTTGTCCCACCCTGGACATCATTCCACAGATATATACACCCCATTTTCCTAGTTTCCTACAGACCTCACAACCTCTGAGGATGCCTGCCATAGTTGCAGGCGAAACTTCAGGAGAGAATGCTTCTGGTACATGGCCAGACAGCCTGGAAAACTCACAGCAACCCAATGATTCCAGCCATGAAAGCCTTTGGTAATATGTTGTTTATATAATTTATGTTTAATCTCAATTATGTTAGATGTAGATTAATCAATTGTTTTATGTTTCTTGTTTATGAATTGGATCTGGCATTGAATGTAGGCCATCTTTCGTTGTAAATAGGGCAAAAATAAGTGAGTTATAAATAAACATAATAAATATAATTATAAATATAATAATACTAATAATAATAATAATAATAATAATAATAATAATAATAATAATGGAGCTTAGGGGAAGAAAGAAGGGGACAAATAAACATAATATTATTTATAAATATAATATAATAATATAATAATAATAATAATATAATAAATAATAATAATAATAATAATAATATAGGATGGGAAATAATAATAATATTAATAATAATAATAATATAATAATAATAATATAATAATAGGAATGGGAAAGGTTAGGGGGAGAAAGATGGGGAGAAATAATAATAATAATAATACTAATGATGATGATAAATAGGAGCTTATGGGGAGAAAGAAGGGTACATGATGATGATGATAATCATCATAGGAGGTTAGGGGGAGAAAAATGGGGGAGAAATAATAATAATAATAATGTTATGGGAGAAAGAGAGGGAGAAATAGTAATAATAATAATAGATAAGAGGTAAGGGGGAAAGATGGGGAGAAATAATAATAAGAAGAAGGAGGAGGTTAGGGAGAGAAAGATGGGGAGAAATAATAATAATAATAATAATAATAATAATAATAATAATAATAAGATAGATGTAATAAAATAATTATAATAAAGTAATGTAATAATTAATAAAATAATAATAATAATAAATAATAATAATAATAATAAAATAATAAATAATAATAATAATAATAATAATAATAATAATAATAATAATAAATAGGTTAGGGGAGAAGGAAAGGGAGAAATAATAATAATAATAATAATAATAATAATAATAATAATAATAATAATAGATAGGTAAGGGGGAAAGATAGGGAGAAATGAGGAGGAGGAGGAGGTTAGGGGGAGAAAGATGGGGAGAAATAATAATAATAATAATAATAATGATGATGATGATGATAAATAGGAGCTTATGGGGAGAAAGAAGGGGACATGATGATGATGATCATCATCATCATAGGAGGTTAGGGGGAGAAAAATGGGGGAGAAATAATAATAATAATAATAATAATAATAATAATAATAATAATAATGTTATGGGAGAAAAAGGGAGAAATAGTAATAATAATAATAGATAAGAGGTAAGGGGGAAAGATGGGGAGAAATAATAAGAAGAAGGAGGAGGTTAGGGAGAGAAAAATGGGGAGAAATAATAATAATAATAATAATAATAATAATAATAAGATAGAAGCTTATGGGGAGAAAGAAAGGGACATATGATGATGATAGTAATAATAATAATAGTAGTAGTAGTAGTAGGAGGAGGAGGAGGTTAGGGGGAGAAAAATGGGGGAGAAATAATAATAATAATAATAATAATAATAATAATAATAATAATATAGGAGGTAAGGGGGAGAAAGAAAGGGATGTACGATGATGATAGTAATAGTAATAATAATAATAATAATAATAATAATAATAATAATAATAGGAGGATAGGGGGAGAAAAATGTGGGAGAAATAATAATAATAATAATATAATAGATAGGAGGTTAGGGGGAGAAAGATGGGGAGAAATAATAATAATAATAATAATAGGAGGTTAGGGGGAGAAAGATGGGGATAGGTAGTAGGAATAGTAGTAGTAGTAGTAATAATAATAATAATAATAATTTTACTTGGGTCTGCACACATCATTCGGAAATACATCACATAGTCCTAGACGCTTGGGAAGTGTTCGACGTGTTTTTTTAATATGAAATCCAGCATATAGATCTCGTTTGCTGTGACATACTGTGGTTTTGTATTAGAATAATAATAATAATAATAATAATAATAATAATAATAATAATAGATAGGAGCTTAGGGGAGAAAGTTGGGGAGAAATAATAATAATAATAATAATAATAATAATAATAATAATAATTGTTATTATTATTATTATCTGATACATCACACAGTCCTAGACACTTGGGAAGTGTCCGACCTGTGATCCAATACAAAAGCAAGCCTAGGGATCTTGTTCGCTGTGTACTAATCTGGAGGCTCCACAGTGAGCCATGCTTTTCTCTTTCGGAGCCCTCCATCCTGCAGGACAAAACCTTTACAGCAACGTTTTGAATTTCTCTTTTTCAGACCAGCAGAGAAGGATCTTTCTTCCTCCGCCGCCGGGTATACGGAAATGTGTGGTGGCCACCAACATCGCCGCAACGTCTCTCACCATTGATGGGATCAGGTGAGCCGTTCTGAGAGTTTGGGTCAGGAGGACCGGCAAAACCCCTGACAGCATGGGGTCGAGGG